AAACCAACTGAGCGCATTTCCAGAAATTCCAACCGCAAGGAGGCCTCGGATCAACATGTCGTGGTGCACTTTATCCAAAAGCCTTCCACATGCCTAATAGGCACAGCCCTGTGACCTTGCCACTGTCTCGCGCCTTCTGGAGATTATCCGTCAGCACGCAGAGGACGTCTTCCGCAGAAAATTTCTTGCGGAAGGCAAATTGTGTTTCGGGTAGTGCCTTGCTCAAGTCCAAATGACAAACTGACTGGTATTGCACTACCCTCTCCAGCAACTTATTGGGAGAAGGGATACAGGTCTATAGTTGGTGGGTACTGATGGGTCACCGGCCTTGTATAGTGGCACGACAGACGCCAATTTAAATGCAGATGGAATGGTTCCAGTCCTCAGCGAGGTGCAGAACAGCACAGCAAGGGAATATGCCAGCAAGTCAGCACCCTGCTGTAGCAGAGAGCCCGGAATGCCGTCACTACCTGCGGCTTTCCGCGCATCGAACATCTCAACGAGACGTCGGACGTCAGCAGGAGTCACAGGATGAAGTTTTCATCATTCTGTCAGAGCCAGCCCCTTGCTGGCCGTGGGAAGGCATCATGCCTGTTCGCTTGCTGATGTGAAGAATACCATTATTGCATACCATACCACTGACACTGTACTAGCGAAAGACTGGTACATTGCTGTTACACTACTTGTAGTACTCATTTCGTTTGGCTCGCTAACTACTATATATGCTAGTAGCAACATCTTTGTTTAGCATTTTGTAGTATTTTTCGAGTAGTTCTCGTATTCTCCGGACCGTTGGCTGCCTAACCCAACGATCACAGAGAGTATGATTGTAAAGCTGATGGCTATTCTTATGAAGTGTTATCTTCTCTTGGATGGTGTTTGGGCTATGGCAGTACATGCACAGTCATGTATCCGTATATTTGTAACCGATGCGACAGCCAATACTACTTGTAGTGCTTCTCAAGCTTTGTATTGTATCTTGTGCCTTTCTTTCTTCCTGCTGCAGGCAATTATGTCCTACCCGTACGTGAGTATATCCTGCATCACATTCTCAGTAGAATGAAGTTGAAGACACCACTGCAGCTGTACTTATGGTTGATAAATATGGTGGTAAAGACACACCTGGCAATATGGCGGTATGAAGACATCCAAGAAGAAGATTGCCTGATGAGTCCAGCGGGGACGAAACGTACGTCGCAATCGAGCTATGTCGTTGCTGTGTCATCATCTATGTGCCATGCGCTACTTGATGTACCAGCCTGCTATGCCGGATACTGCCAGCCATGCATCGACCAGGCGCCAGGCGCGAACTGATGGTGGTGGTGGTGAGAAGGAGAGCTCTGTGCCAGAACTTTGCAGCCAAGAGAGCGTGTGTGGGCAGGCGTGTGTTTACCGCCATATTGCCGGGTGTGTCTTTACCACCATATTTATCAACATTCTCAGTAATAAAAACAAACAATAATTGGGTTTTTTTGGTTGAGTACTTACTGAGATGTGGGCCTTTAAAGTCAGTTGCTCATTCCAATTAACATTAAAAAAAAAATTCTATTGCACTTGGAAACTGCACTCCCAGGTCCTATTGTCGGATTTCGGTTTGAAAACATTTTTGGAAATGTCCAGAATCAATGAGAGGTCAATGCATGTACATGTAGATGACTGGACACCCCATCCCTGAGCTACATGTACACAAAACTGACTACCCAGTACCCACGTGTACAATTAAAGGGGAAGTATACCCTAAAATCAAATTTTCACCAGTTGTAGTCTTCTGGGTGCTGAGTCGAATGGTCTTGGTCCGAGGAAGCTGCGACGCTCCCTTCCTACTTGAATCCCAATCGAACTCGCGCACTTCCACCGAAACTGGGTGACTGCGCCCTACTACATGTAGATGGGGATTTGTATGCAAAATGTCACTAAAAGCGCCATTTCGTTCTTATAAAAGCACGGATGACCGCGATTGGCCCATATGTTGTAGTCTTTTGGACGCTGAGTCGACTGGTTTTGGTCCGAAAAGGCTGCGATGCAGCGTTCCTCCTTTATTCCCAATCGAACATGGTTGAACAAGCGGTCACGTGCTCCTGGGTGCCCAAATCACCTGGTCACCGCGCCAGCAGGCGACAACTAATACTTTCACTCCAAGGTTCAACTCGAGTGACAGGACTGCACCCAAAAAAGGTCAAACAGGCTAGTAAGTTGTACCCTGCAGGCACGGTGACCAGGTGACTGGTGTACGCAGGAGCACGTGACCGCTTGTTCAACCATGTTCGATTGGGAATAAAGGAGGAACGCTGCATCGCAGCCTTTTCGGACCAAAACCAGTCGACTCAGCGTCCAAAAGACTACAACATATGGGCCAATCGCGGTCATCCGTGCTTGTATAATAACGAAATGGCGCTTTTAGTGACATTTTGCATACAAATCCCCATCTAGTAGGGCGCAGTCACCCAGTTTCGGTGGAAGTGCGCGAGTTCGATTGGGATTCAAGTAGGAAGGGAGCGTCGCAGCTTCTTCGGACCAAGACCATTCGACTCAGCACCCCGAAGACTACAACTGGTGAAAATTTGATTTTAGGGTATACTTCCCCTTTTTAAGGTGGCGATATGATCTACCTTCAGGGGTCAAAATTTTGTGAAATTTTCAACTTGCTCTAATTTCGTCCAATGCGGTGTCAAATTGCTCGTATAGATCCCAGACATCATCTCTGAAAATTTGAGTGAGATTGCTTTATCCATATGGCTGCTATGAGCTTGCAAAGACCGAATGTAACATATCTTTGACTCGCACAATTGCAACTTTTTGGGGGAAAACGTAGAAATCAGTCTTTTCACGGTAAATCCTTGTGGATTTTGTTCAAATTTTCTGTGCTCGTCAGAAATACCACTGCTGACTCATGCCATACCAATACGCACATATTACGTCATCATGGACACAGTGCGCATGCGCAAATCAATAATTCGATAATTTGTGAAGAATTCAAACAATTGTGTTTGGAAAGTCTATTGGAGACGTCTCACGTCGTCGCCTGTCACCAAGATCGGGTGGAATGAGTACTGTCCGTCGTCTTGGTTGTCCGAAGCAGCCTATATGACTGCCAGAAGCTCTCGATATCCATCTATCCGCTGAAAATATCCCTGACGTTGACGACGCTGTTCAAATTTATTGGCAAAAAAATTGCCAAGCGAAGACGTATTTCAACTTCATCTCCAACTCTGACTACTCTGACGATGACGATGTCAACAGCAGTTCTAGCTATTGTGGTGATTAGTTTTTCTCTCTCTTTCGGCGTCAGGCAGTGAGTGCAAAATATAGCCTACTGGAGTTAGTCTGTGAAATATTGAGTGATTTCTGCTATTTCTGGTCAAATCAGTATGCTGTCAGCTGTACCAGTCCACATCCCATCGTAGATCTACTAAGCGAGCAGGCAAACCCAGATATTTGCCTTGGGATTTCATTGTGTGTGGTGAGAAGAGAAGTCCATTCAGTTCTGAGAAATTCAATTTCAAATTGGAAGTCCACAGGCCTGTATTTAGTATGCGCCGAATTCATCACCGCCAGTGACGCTTTGCATAGTTTTCAATATTCTACTGCCCATATATACTAAGACCTGTGGCGGCAACGCGATCCTATTCAATCTGTGGTCATGTTCTCCGAGATGAGTTCAGAAGCAGACATGTGATCTGCTACGCTGGACCTGAGGCAATTTACCAAAGTGGCAGTGCTGCAACCGCATGCGATCGCCGTGATGTGTGACGGAAACGGCATGGCTGCACCCTGGATATGCCTCATTCATCAGCACCTATATTGCCATACCCATGGAGAGAGGCCACCAGTGAAGGCTGGGTTTCCGACTTGATTTTGCCTGCAATGATCCTGATTGAACAAGCCCTTAGAGAAGAAATGAAGACTCTAGCTGAACACTGAAACCAGATAGCATCGCGTTTCTGCTCGGCACCGCACTAAGTAACACCATTGTGATACAACCAGGAAGAGCTGGGAACTTGTGGGAAGTGACAAAGAAGTCAAGGAAGAAGTAAAGAAGACTGAAGAAGAGCATTACTAATCATCAAGGAGACCAAAATGAGGTCACCTACGAGCCAGATGGCTTCTGATGTGAAGATTTGTAGGCAGGTAGGCTGGAATTGGATAGACCTTTTTTGTGTGTTTTTGGTAACTTTTTAGCCTATCCCGCATTTTTCTACCACGATTGCGGCAAAGTGGTAGGTGCTATACCCCTAAACCTATACATTTCTGAGCTCTGTGATGCATCAGCTAGTTCGTGAATGTCTTCGTTTAGCCATTTATCATTGCTTGTTCTCACATTGGTTGTGGACCCGATCATGACTTTTTTTGCGGATGCGCGCGTCAAAACGCTTTGTTGTGACATTGTGATCTAAAGGACTTTGCAACTGTTTCTTGATATTCAATACCCAGAAATATATGTTAGGAACGCTGTAGCAATTGGTTATTTTCTACTTGATGGATGCATATTTCAATTTTGCGGTTAAGAGGTGCGGGTGCGGCCAATTATCGCGATTCGGCAATAACAATGGACATGAGCGGAATCTGTCCTCTATTTGTGCTGCTCCTTGTCCTTTGGTACATAATGAATGTCTCCAGAAAATTTGACCTAATTCCAAAGAGAATTGGCTGAGATGTTTGTATTTTACGGTGGACTATCCGCGAAGGTAGATCGCCACCTTAAAGCGGTGTGGACCCTGGCTAGCGCCAGACGTTACTTTTGTAGCGTCTGGTGCCAGCCGCTACTAAAGTAACGTCTTTTGCATAGCGTCGGGAATTAACACTGTGTAGCACACACTATATCAAACTCAAATGGATGCAGACTTGTAGAATTTTGCGAGGACAACCGGCTGGTGCTAACCAACACACTGTTCAAGCACAGGATGCAACATCGCTCAACATGGTTTTCTGATGGTTTAGTGCATGCGGATGGAAAGCCTGTGCGGAATATGATAGATTACGTGATAGTAAAACGTTCCACCATGGCCGCGGTTCTAGATGCAAGATCGTTTGGAGGCTTCACCACGCGCTCTGATCATCACCCTGTTATTGCAGTTCTTGGCATCGCACTTTCTAAAGTCCATCCGACCGTCAAACAACAAGACCCATGTTTCAATCGCTATAACCGTCCAACCGCTGAATCGTCGAAACTGTTCTGCGACCGTCTCAAGGAGAAGTTACCTTCTCTGCTTCCACTCTCCGCAAACATCGACAATGACTCCGTGGATAAGGCGTGGCGTGGATTCGTCTGGGCTACGCATGATGCAGCGCAGGATGCATTCGGGAAAGTGCCCACTGGTTCTGCTCCGAAAGCAAGCACGAACCCTCGCGTTGCATCCTTATCCACTGAACAGAAGAATCTGCACTGCCGCATAAACGCTGAACCTGATCCAGAGCATCGTAAAGCTTTAAAGATTGAAAGATCTGCAAAACTCCACGAGATTCGAAGGATACTACAGAAGGAGGGCGAGCAATATTGGCAACGTAAGGCTGTTGAAGTAGATGCTTTACGTCCTGACCCACGGTCCTACTTCAACGCCATCAGCAACTTACGCCAACTACGCTCTGGGAAGAAGGCTGCGCCTGTGCGTCTTGCTGACGCAGACGGCAGAATCATGGCAGACATCTCATGGAATCTTAATGCCTTTAATGAATATTATGAATCGGTATTTTACACTGATGGCCAGCCACTCGACCTCAGGCAGCAATCAAATGAGGAAGATCCATTCACAATCGAAGAAGTACGGTCTGCAATTATCAAGCAGAAGTCTGGTGGTGCTGTCGGTCATGATGGTATCAGTGCTGATGCTTTGAAGTCAGCTAAAAACCTTCTCGCACCCTGGCTGACGAATTTCTTCAACGCTGTTCAAGCTACAGAGTACTGTCCTGACGACATGCGCTGCGGCCTCATCGTTCCCATCTACAAAGCCGGCAAGCCTCTAGGACATCCAAAAAGCTACCGCCCCGTTATGCTCCTTTCTGTCGTCCGTAAGATCTTGACGTCAATACTCACCCGACGACACACACTCCATGTGCAGTCATATGTGGCAGAGAGCCAAGCTGGTTTCCGCCCTGGCAGATCGACCACGGATGGTGTCTTTTACGCCAGGACGATGTGTGAGCGCGCACTACTTGGCGACTGGTCATATTCATCGGCACTATTGGACTTCAGCGGTGCGTTTGACACTGTCATTCGTCAGGTTGCTCTGGAGAGGTTAGCCACTGCTGGCGCACCAACGTCCACCACTGCAGTCCTAGTATCAAACACAACAGCCCGCACGAAGCTTGGTAAACAACTAAGCAAACCATTTCCAACGAACATCGGCGTCGTCCAGGGTGACCCAATGTCACCAATAATGTTTATAACTTACGCCGAAGGTTCCATGCGTAAGATCCGAGAGCAAGCTCTACCCGCGTCAGACCTACCAGCAACTTTCACACAATACGCAGACGACACCACTGCCCATCAGAACGAGCGATCATCTGTGGAAGAAACCGTCCGTGTGTGTGAACCCGTTTTCTCGGATGACAATCTGAAGCTGAACGTGGCAAAAACTCAATATTTTACTGTGACCAAGGAAGATGATTCCTGGAAATCGGTGAAGCTGCTGGGGAGTATGCTAGGCACAGCAGAAGACATAGCAGCCAGAGTGTCTGCTGCAAATCGGGCATTTGCAAGCATTCCATGGAAACGCCACAACCTGAATTCCAGGCTGTGTATGTTTTCCTGCCTGATATTGCCTGTCTTACTGTATAACTGTGCGCTTTGGACCTTATCGCAAACATTAACCGACGTCGTCAATGTATGGCACCGGAAGAAACTACGTACCATCATTGGTATCACGTACCCACAACGAATCTCGAACACAGCGCTGTATGCCAGAACCGAGCAGACCCCACTATCCCAAGTCTGCAGGCAACGGAGACTGCTGTGGTTCGGCCATGTAGTGAGGGAAGGCGAAGAATCGTCCTCTTTCCAAGCCCTCCTAATGTCAATCAACACAACAGACATACGACGACCCCGAGGACGACCCCGTCTGAGATGGATCGACGTTGTCAAGAAAGACTTACAATGCATTAATCTGTCGCTTCTGGATGCTGTGCAATCTGCTTCTGATAGAGCTGCTTGGCTCGAAATTGTTAACAGATGCGTTGACCTCATGCAATGAGTGAAATGCGAACTGTCATTATTATTATTATTATTATTAGCATTGTACAATGTAATTGTACATTTTTTAAATAAAATATGACAACATTTTGGGAAGAGTCAACCGAGCAGGCAGTGGTAATAAACGCAACAATGAAAGGAATAATACTCATAAAAAGGACACGCTGCAGGCTCTTGAAGAGTTTCAATAGTATACCTTCAAGCCTTATCGTCAGGTGAAATGCAGGAAACATCAAATGAACAAGAACAATGGATCAAGTACAGGATTACAGGGATATACAGCGTGATATACAGCGTGATATACAGCGTGATATACAGCGTGATATACATGTACAGGTGATATACAGCGTGATATACAGCGTGATATACAGCGTGATATACAGCGTGATATACAGGTGATGAAAGGAAGTAGAAACGCATTCACAAAAGTCACATATAAATCTGCTATCAAGAGTACATACCCCACACTCTTGCTGCTATGTACATACGCGTTGTTTGATACCATGACCATGCGTGTACAAACTACATAATGTCGTAACGTACCGTTTATCCACTCCCCATGCCCCCCCCCCCCCCCCCCCATGGCCCACGCCGTGTCGCTTTCCAGCAGGGAGTAGTACAATACTGATTACTGTATTGTACTACCGTACTCCCTGCTTTCCAGCTGAGTTTTCGGCAGGGCGGGCTAGGGAATCAAGGCTGTCAAGTGCAGTACGATGTAGATCTACATATGCTACGGGGAATTAGTAGTACGGGTCCGGGGATTCTACGGGATTTCGTGGATCTGTACAACTGGCATAAGGTCTTGACTACTGTAGTCTATACCAGGGAGTGGTATTGTACTACTCCCTGGTCTATACTATAGAGAGGGGGCCGATCAACGGTACTTTATACGGTAGATGTATGCGAAAGTGAGGAATTTCGCGTGTGGATTCGGCGGGCTGCAGCCATACCAGATGTATTCTGTGCAAAATGTCGATGTCAGAGTTCAAAGTACCGGTACAGTGTTTTTGTGTTGTTGCTTTGTAGCAGCTACATCTACGTTGTCATTTCGTTCTTTTCGTATCATCTTCTTCGTAGCTGTTATTTTCGCTTTCGAAACTGCAAAGAGCAGTATGCTAGAGGCGTCACGCCGCGTCAGGGATGGACGACGCTGCTGCTGGCAGTGCTGCTGCTGAGCTCCTTCAGAGTTCCGAACTCTCAGTGAAGTCGTTGCACTTGTATTTTGTAATCTCAAAATACTGATTAGTCCGGCGAATGTACATGCACTAGTATCTGGTTTTGCCCAATAATATTGAAGAATCACCTTGCTTGAGAAAATGGATGGCCCCTGATTGTTGAGAAAGCCTGTATTTGCATATATCACCCTACTCTGCTCATCTGCTAAGTTAGATTTGACCCAAACCCACCCAGTTGTTGATCACAGATAATCGCTCCTCCTGAAAATTGGTCAAAACGGATTTATCTCGTTTTGCAATGAAGCCCTTCATGTACAGTATTCAGTAATGTACATGTACTTGTACCGGTACATGTATTATACAGTACATGTATACATGTTCCCCTGACTGATCCTATGTACATGACTGTATTATAACTTTAGAGTTCTAGTTAGGCTTCGAGTAATTCGACTTTAGAGTAAAACTTCCCCACACACGTACATGTACATGTCAACAAGCCACTGTACATGTACTTGTACGGACAAGAAAAACGCACAACAGAGAGGTAATGCAAAAACAGTACACAAGACAACATTCAAGGAAAACCTGACTCTGCCAAAACTATCAGCGAGTTGACGACAGGAAAGGTTTTACTGGAGCAACTACCGAGACACAATCATGTGTGAGAGTAGCTACTGGCGGTTACCATGGTTACTTGCTTTTGATATTATCACAATGATGCCTTTAGAGACTCAAAATGTGACATACAGTCCGTATCGCCTATAAGGTTGGCGGCTATAGTAATATACCGGATATAGTGATCAATTTCTCAAATTCATTTTCATTTGCCATAACTAAGTATACACAGTTATCGCGTATAGTAATAATCGTCTTTTGTAATATATCGCCTATAGTGATCAAATTCATATTTCAAAAGACGTTTATTACACTATTTTTGCATCGGTTATAGTGATTGGTGTGAAATCAAGCGATGTCAGAGGAGAACAGGGTGTTACTTCTTCGTGAAGAACTTGTCCAGGGAGTGTTGTTTGGTGAGTTTTGCTTGTACAAGTAAAAAATATGCCTCCATCGTGAGGAAATCCTGATTTTGTGTGTCAGGAGCTACAGCCAGCTACATGTATAATATTATGACATTGTACATGTATGTAGTGCGTATATATGTGCACGGCGCGCTGAGTCGTTTGACACCCCAATCGCATACATTGCATGGAGTATCGGTCATAGTAATATATCGCTTAGTGATAAAATGCTCAGAATCAAACACCAACGCTATAGGCGATACTGACTGTACAACTAGGAGAGGCCCCTACTGGCCCTAGGCCCTTTGCTGCAATTTTAAAAATACTTCAAAAAATATTTCATTGCGTGGGTGCAACAAACTCAGATTATAATATTATTATTTTTATACAAACATGCAATGACGTGATGGGGTGAGCTGCTAGCGCTAGCTATCGGAGTTCCAGCAAGTAAAGGTCGGACTCGAAGCTCGATCGCTTTTCTGATGGCCGGCCCCGCAGTGGTCGCCTACGCATCCATGCTTGGCCCGAGTAGAGTCACACTGGCACTACATTGTACATTCCAGAGTCCAGACCAGTACAGTTTTGGGTGCGCCCGGGCCGTAGATCTACTCTACGCACGCACCCGGTACCCATGATCTACAAGCTGCTGTCATTACTACCAGACAGCAGTGTCGGCTAGCTACTTCTACACGATGTAGTGCTAGAACGCGGCAAGCATGATGTGTCTGGGGTTGTATATAACTGCTGCCGGACTGAAGACGGATCAGTTTCGGGTGGTAGACTACTGTACTCGTAGTTGATCTGCGTTGCTTCTTGCTTTTCGAATTGCGTGCGTAGACTCAAGAGGTTCCACTTTATTTTTGGTTCGACTGAGAATTTCTCAGTTTGTGCAGTAGATTTGGTTGTACTAGCGAAGTAACTGTTCTTGGTTGGAGAATCGAATTTACTTGGGCGGCAGAAAGCAATTCTTTGGCTTACCGTCACATTTCGTGAATTCAGGATGTACGTGGGAAGAGGTGAGTGATGAGACCCTCCATGCCTTCTTCTTTTTACCAGCGCGTGCACAAGAAGCTAGGGGTTACACTGACCTATTAGAACAGTAACTGTAGTGCGATGAAATCCGCGCTCGACTAATGGTAATACTGGTAATAGTAATACTAGATTTAGACTTTCGTGTATGGAGGCTCGCTATGCCCGACTGGAGCTAGTACTAGTAGTACTAGTAGAAGAAGACAATGACATTGTGTCGGATCGGCTCTTTTGCATCCACTCAGTGGCTCGTGTCAGTCGCTTTGAACACTTTACCATGTTCAAAGCGGTGCGTTGTAAATCTCTGTGTTACATGCCTGGTCTTGCCAGATGTGTCCTTGTGTTTCGTTACTATTAATGTATTATAGTTGCGGACCGGATATCCAATACTGATATCTACGGCAATGTAATTGTTGATGTGTACGCACTACTGTAACACAGACAGTGCAGTGCGCCAGCTATTGTTTGCGTGCATACAATTGACCCCCTGCAATATTGTGTCCTTCTCTAATTTTTGTGGCTCAACCATTGTGGTGTTCGGTCTCTGTCTTTCTGTTCTTCCCTTGTGTGTATTCTGGTTTAGGAGCATTGCTGTTCGTGACGTACCTGGCGACTATAGCGCTCTGCCGTACGAGCAATGGTGCGGAGTACGCCATATCCGATCGGCTGCTTCTGGACTCGACAGGAATGAGCAGCGTCAACAGTAACCAGTACCTTCACTTCCTTGGCTCCAGTGATGGCTCAGCAAGTGCAGGAATGTGCCTCAGCCCCTCGGTAGGTAACCAATGAACTGTCTACTGACAGTCTGTGTACATAGAGATGATAATGGCAGTGTTGTGTTTGAGGAAGGTGTTGAACTGCAAGATCCCAGGTTGTCGTCTCCATGCATGGCTACTGGTTAGCAGCACGAGGTACACCCGGATTATTACTGGTAGTCCGAGTCGTTGCAACTCATACTGGCCTGAATCTACTCGTTTGACGGTAGTGACGCTGCTTCTTGTGCTGTACAGTTCGTCAAAGACAATGGCCATTATGTCTGTACGACTTGTACGAGTCAGTAGATAAGATTTGATTAGTTGTCTGCCCATTGTCGTTGAAGTATGATTCATGCAGCTTCTATGCATTGCATTGCATGTGTGTGAGTCTGAGTGACTCTAATCTTTCATTCCTCATTGGGGTGTTAATGTCCGCACTAATTGCTCGTTGTATCGTTGTGGCATTCAGTTTGGAGGCTGCTTCGGCTTCTTTGGAGTTGGGACAGTTTAGGCGTGCAAACTGTTCCAGTTACTTTCATGCAAACTACACTACCACACTACCGCACTACCAGTGACAGGGCACTGTGTAGTTCGCCTGTACACTGTACTGGCTTCTGTAGTTTTTATGGTATGGCGCGCTTGTCTGCTGCTCCGTTCTGTGGCTGTCTGTGTGTCTACGTGTTGGCTTGCTAGTTGGGCGCCTGCGCCACACCCGTGTTACAGACGCGGTGACAATGAATACCGGTACTCACTAGGCTTCAGCCCAGACTTCTCAGTTGGTGTAGTTCACATGGTTCAGGCCTGGCCAGACCTTCACTCTGGTCTGGACCTGTGTAAAGCTCAAACTCGAGTCAAAGTACACTACTCACTAGTCACTAGTACTGCTACATGGTCTGTGCTAGTGACTAGTGTCGCAGTGACTAGAACTAAGTAGTATAGTAGTACTAGTAGTGATAGTGTACCAGGGTGTACCAGTACTGCAGTACAGTGACCATGCATGGCACTGGTACTTAGGCTGCAACCACACTACGTACAAAATCAAGTACGCGTTTGCGTTCAGCTTTTAGATAACGCAAGGTCGCATCCACACTGCCATTTTCATGCGCAAGGAATCCTTGCGTTTTGTCAACATTTCTGGGGCCCAGAAAAATCGCGCTGTGAAAATGTATGTACCAAATGTAGTAGTAGTAGTAGTAGAATTTATTATTTTGATAGGGAAGGCCCTACAGACGTTGCCGTCTTGTTACAGGGAACCCTAAGTGCTCTTTACAGAGCGAAACAAAAACGGATAGATGCTCAACCTGACGACACGAGACAGGCAGAGAATTCCACCTATCAGCGCCATGTAGTAGTAGTTTGAAAAAGAGTCGCGAGCGCCTTGACATCCACGTTCAATGCCTCGGTCATCTCCTTCTCTCGGATGGTCCGCTCCAGGCTGTCATCTGGCCCTGCTTCGTCTTCTGGTACGCTGCCCCAAGCTGCATGAGCTTCTCAGTTCGAGATCATCAGCGAGATACAATGTAGTTGCGCGGCATCTCGAACTAACAGTAACAACAGCAGGTAACAGGACTGTCCGGAAATTATACTGAAAGCAAAGTCCTGGCAGAAAAAATCTCATATACTACACACTGACGAGGGAGCCATCTACTACCGACACAGTGCAAGCCTCAACAAGAATTCTAAGAAACATCTACCCGGCCGTATGAAGAACCGAGCGAAACGCAAGGAAAAGGCGAAAAGTTGCTTTCTACAGGGGTACCCGGTTTGCTGAAACGAAACGCAGTGCGTTTTGCGTTTCGCACGCGTTTCCTTGACGACATAAGCAGAAAAGTTGCGTTTACGCAGTTTTGTACCTAGTGTGGTTGCAGCCTTAGTGGTAGGTCAGTCAGCTGAGCAGACTGCAGCTGCAGACAGTCTTGTGTCACATTCGTTGAGTGTGTGTCCCAGGTGCTTGATTCATGGACACATCATGTAATCATGATTGATCATTATTGTATTCAATACCAGCCTGTAACTGCCTCCCACAGAGTACACTAGTGTAATGTGCACATCATTTCAATGACCTTTACTAGTTACTGCCTGCAGGACCTGAGGAAGCAGTTTTGCCTTTTGGTTCCTCATACGGCCATCGCATAGCCTCTCATACGTTGTGTATGAGATACAGCGGTGAAGAGCGCTGGTGGTCAAACAGTTGATATGGCCTGACCGGCCGAGCCAGGTTCCAACGGGCCTGTGCCTAGATTAGGAACTCCAAAGCAGGCAGCGGTAGCAGCCGGAAACTTCAGCCTCCTAACGTAGAGTCTTGGCCGTTCTCAGTCCGGATTACATACAGTGCATAGAATCCATACAGTGCATGCAGTGCCACCACAGCAGTTCTATTCCATTAGTTGTAATTATGGAGTACAGAATTAGTTTGCTGGGTTGCGACTAAGACACTAAGAGGCATCTAGACACATCTATAGACTATAATCATGGGGTGACTGAGTGGCCGTGCTATGCGTCCTGCGTGCGTTTTATCAGGTGTGTGTATATTGTGTGTGGGCACCGTGGCGGCAAGCAGGTGCCCATACCCGTCCAGATGTTATGCTATGCTGCTCATTGCACAGTAATTCAACGCTATATTGTGTCTCCTCTGTTGTGCTTTGCCGCTTCAGCATGCACGGATGGCTGCGGATGCTATCACGGCCCCCTGTATGAGGGGACAATGTTACACACTGAGCACGTCTCTGCGTTTGTCTAAGAAGAACTTTGAAGGCACACTGGTTCACTTGAAAAATATGAATACTAGCATGGGAGGAGAGCTCCGTATTCACTTTGTGAAGAGTTTTCAGGTGAGTTCATGGGCACACGCTTGCATACACAAACACACCTACACACACACACACACACACCTGCACACACGCACACACACGCACACACACACACACACACACACACACACACACACACACACACACACACACACACACACACACATAATAATTATGCGCTTGCGTACACACACAAACCTGCATACACACACAGCATTTCCTGTGAACAGCCATCGATGAAAGATGCTTTGAGGGCAGACATTGTAATTTTAAGATTTGACTTGTGTTGGATCTGTGAAATGGCCACAATTAGCTATGGCTTTGAAATGCAGCTATCAGTTACATCTGAGCGTGTTGAGTATTTGTAGTGTTCGTGTGTGTGTGTAGTATCTTAGTATGTGAAGTGTCTGATTGATCTGTGTGATCTGTATTGGCTTGTGTTCTCTTACAGTTGCGTGTCTACTATCAGGACGATGACACGAAAGCGGAGATGTTTGAGCGGTTCTACTATGGCTTTCGCCGTAACCATTGGCTTCAGCTTCACATTGTCGTGTGTCACGGGTCCATCACGGTTCACGTGGGCTGTAAAAGTCTTTTCAATGTGCAGACGCCGCATTCTCGGTGCCCAGTTGCTGGCGACACATTGAAACTTTGCGTTGGAAAAACGGTGACCGACACATCACCTATCCAGGTAGGTGCTGTAGAAGTCACTGCAGCACTGAATCGCTTTCACTAGCTACTCCTGTTCACTGCCTACAGTGGCAAATAAAATCCCAACCACAGTACACTTCCACAGAGCTGCTAGTTGTGATTGTTTTAGCTGAGGCTGTCCTGGCGGAGGGTGTCTTGGGTTGAGAGGCATGGATGCTGCAAGGAAGCACCAGGGCGGAAAACAATCAACAGCATCATCGATATTTCCACAAAATGAAAAAGTTCAGCTATGACCTGTTTCCACCCATCCACCCCCTGAAGTGAACTACAGTAATAACGACTGCGGATGTAACGACAATTCACGAAAAAAATCCCATCCAACTGTAATACAATACTGTAATAGACTTCGGGTATAACGACACTTCGCGAATAAGGACACTTGTTTGATGCCCCGCCGAGTCAGTGTCGTTATAAGCAAAGTTGAATGTATAATAATGTTATTGACATCTGGTCAACTGTCCATCAGCTACTCAATCTCCGTTGTATGTTTCAGTAATTGATATTTTCCAAACCCACCGCCCACAACTAATTTTGGTTTCATCAACTTTCTTGTCATATGGGTAGTTTATGATCATGCGTGTACATCATTCATGTGCTCCAGGCGGACGTTCGCAACATGGTGATCTTGGGCGGTGACCAGACTGGCCAGCTTTGCCCATTGAGCGTAGGTATGTATGATTGGCCATCGTAATAGCGTAGGTGCAGTGGTGCATGATGAAATTCACGCGCCCCGGGAGCATGCGTTTGAATTTAAATCGTGCAATGCTGGTGGCAACGTGCACAGTACACACACATCTCACATGTCACTTCTGAATGCCTAAACCTATGAAATTTAATCGTCAAGCATTCCTGTGCCACACTTCCGGGCAATTGAATTGCTGTTCACACAGTGAATGCGTAGTCACGACATGTGTACATCTGAGACACAGTATTCATCTAAGTATTCATCTTCTTCTTCTTCTTCTTCTTCTCTCTCTCTCTCTCTCTCTCTCTCTCTCTCTCTCTCTCTCTCTCTCCGTCTCTCTCTCTCTCTCTCTCTCTCTCTCTCTCTCTCTCTCTCTCTCTCTCTCTCTCTTCTCTCTCTCTCTCAGGCTCTGCTCCTTCTTTCTATCCGCACTGCTTGTGTACATGTGATATACTAACAGTTATTAACAGTTAGTATAATATGTTTTCAATTGCTCTGCAGGTATAGATTGAGTCTTCAGGTGCAGTAGTGATGACATGCAGTATTTAACTGGAATATGTTATTGTTTTGCCCGTGCACTTTAAACATGTAGGTAAAGATGTTCTATTGCGCGACATCAACGGTCTTCGGCAGCAAATTCGCACGCTCCAGGATCAGCTAATATATGCCAAGGCTGATTTAGCGGCAGAGCACTCGAACCACTTGTCCGAAATCAGTGTCGCATCGCGGTGCAAGACACAGGCGGCAGAGCTCTTTGGAGAAGTGAAAAAGGCTCAGCAGCAGGTTCGTAGATAGGGGATGCTCTCCGTTACTGTACCATCCAATGTTTTTTTGTTTGTTTGTTTACCATTCGATGCTCTCTCTCTCTCTCTCCCTCTCTCTCCCTCTCTCTCCCTCTCTCTCCCTCTCTCTCTCTCTCTCTCTCCCTCCCTCTCTCTCTCTCTCTCTCTCTCTCTCTCTCTCTCTCTCTCTCTCTCTCTCTCTCTCTCTCTCTCTCTCTCTCTCCCTCCCTCTCTCTCTCTCTCTCTCTCTCTCTCTCTCTCTCTCTCTCTCTCTCTCTCTCTCTCTCTCTCTCTCTCTCTCTCTCTCTCTCTCTCAACAGCCTTGGAGGCTGATTGCCTTTCCTTGTTCTACTGTTTTGATACTTTTTGCAGATCTCGACGATCACGTCTGATTATGACACTACATCTAGTAGGCTGAACCAATGTAGAACAGCGGTGAAGAACATCACCTGCATGGTCAACAATACCATCTATCAAATCGGTGCAATTATTCCACTCCGGACTTGTCAAATCTGCACATGTGTGGTAAGTTTTCCTAGCCTTATTTTAGCCGCACATGGTTGCGGGTCCGCACACCCTTGTGTGTGTGTGTATATGTAGTCTTGTGTATTGTGCTTGGGGACTGGTTGTTGGATGCTGCCCAAGTGATGCGAGGCGTGATTTTTATCAGCCATGCGCAGTGTTGTTCTGCTACGCCATGTCAACATTGACTAGCTCCGTGCTTTGTCCCAACCTGTGTGTCCACGTGCGCTTGAGTAGAGTGGTGTAGAGAAGGGTGGTTGAGTACAGTCGAGTGCTGCTAGCATCAGGCCTGGGTCCAAACAAGCCGGCCTACATACATGTACTTTGGTTTTGAGCTTCTTGATGCATTTTTCTTGACGAACCTGTTTGCGCCTGTTTTTGATGTTGCCTATAGGTTGATGGTCGGGTGGAGTGCGTGGATGAACCATGTACTCCCATTGTGCCAGGCACGGAATCCTTAACATGCCCTTATGGAAGGGTTATACCAAGGAATGTGACCAGCGGAGTTTGCTGTGATACATGCCAATATGGTAAGTCAATGTGCAGGTTTAGCAGAGCACCTGAACGGAGAGAACACTGTGGTGAGATTGAATTATCCAGTCTAGCCCAAAAGGGCAAGTGGTGGGAAACGGGAAAACAGAAATTTGTGAAACCTGTGAGTAGCAGTCAATCTGCACGCTGCACCTTCATTCATGGTATTATTTGGAGCAAGACGACAGACGATTGATTCCAGCAATGGTTTGCAGAATAGGAACGTTTCAACTGAGCAGTCTCCTATAGTAAAAATCCTGGCTTGGTTTGTACCAGTACCATGTTAACTTTCTGGGAAAGGTTGCTATCGGTAAACTGACAGCCGCTCTATCAAGTTACTATTCACACCTTCTTGAAACAGCACTTTCTGCCTTCTAATTCTGTTTTTGCAGTTCCCGGAGCTTGTCGCTACAGGAATAAGTTCTATGAACATGGCAGTGTGTTCAAAAACCTAGACGGAGGTGTTTGCTCGCCTAATTGTTCATGTCAGGTAAGGTTAATTCAGTGTTACAATTAGTCATGCACATCTTGAATGTTCTGGGTTGTTTTTTATGTGATGCGATGTGCCAGTTAGGATTTGGTCTGACATGTATAATGTGGTGTGTATAACTTGACCAGTTGAGATCCACATTACCTTACTCTAGGGGCACTCCAGGTATGGTGGGTTTGTATGATGCCAAGTTTTAGGCCACACTGTCCAGGTGATGTTGTTGTCTGGCTACTGCAATCTATAATGTGTAGTCATCACACATGAGCATTGCCGGGCACTGAGAAACATCAGCCCCGGCACAGAGCTAGTTGAAACACTGGCACTACACTACCCACTATGCACACTCGTACTTTTTTTGAAAGACATTCTGAATCTCATCCGCTGGCAACAGCGTTGACGACATGTTTATATGTCTGAAATTGTCCAGCAAGAATAATTCTGAGCCCACAGGCTGCTGTTTCAGCTGTCTACATGTACATGCATGTGATATGTGTGCATCTGCCCTGTGTTGTGTAGAACCATAAGAAAGTGTGTCCCACTGAGGCCTGTGAACAGTTGCCATGTCAACCGGCTCAACGTTATACACCAGTAGGTCAATGTTGTCCAAGGTGTACAGGTGAGTGACTACATGATCTGTATGATATGTATGTCATATATGTACTATGTAGCATGGATGTAACCCTTATAAGCCTAGGAACATGCTATTACAGTAAAACCTGTGTTCCCGGACCCTGTACTAAGTGGAATCCTGTATCTGTATATTGACCGGACACATGTTCATGCGCCAAAGTGCTGTGGATCGAACATGCATCCCTGGTTCAAGCGGAATCCTGTCATATGAGGACAGTTTCCGCTGCGCCAAGGTCATCAGGTTAGGCCAGGTTTTACTCAACTCATTTCTATCAGTGAATATCGGAACTGCACTCCTTAGCAAATTCTACCAGCATCGGACTTAGTAGAGGCTATAGAGCCTGTATACTTGGCTAGCCAGTGTTGTATACTTGGCTAGCCAGTGTTGGTAGAATATTGTAGAACACTATACAGCTCCCCAACGTAAACTGGTAGAGTTATCACTGTGTGTAGAGTAAATGTACAAGTACTGATGATAGAAGCATAAGTGCACCCTACTTGTGACACATTTCAGTGCATATTGATAATAAGTCAATGTTCAGCATCATAGACTTACTGATTCCAAGCAAAGAATTATCTGGGAAGTAAATATTTCAAGCTGTAGCTAGATTGCCTGAAGTTTGTGCACCTGCATCCTTGCCATTACTCTGGGGAAACAAGTACCTTTACCTATGTGGCCAAAATGATAAAAAGCTCTTTAGTACGAGGTAAGCGATTGCTTTGCTTGCTTCATTGTTGTAGAGTTCGTCAATTGGCTTTTTGTGTACCTTTTGTGTGTTCAGAGGAGGAGAATCCATGTGAAGCCAATCCTTCGCCGTGTGCACGCCATCAAGGAGATGCGCCGTGGACGTGTGTTAACCGTGGTGGCAGAGCCGAGTGTATTTGCTACTTTATTCCATCTGGAGGTGGCTGTTACAGTAAGTCTGAAAAGTAAATGCTTGTCGTCAACTCTGCGATGTACAAACTAACAGTTGCACATACTTCAACGCAACTAAAGCTGCAAGTTTGTATCCCTGGTAATGTTTGAACCCGGAGAGCACTATATAAGTGATGCTCTTTAGGCACAATGTTCATCAGCCTACTCAAGCCTACTTTCGACTGGAAGAAGATAGATATGCTTCTATCACCACTGGATTCAACTACTGAATAGAGATAGTAAATGCAAAGAATATATGGTAGAAAAACGCCGACAACGCTAGTGAGCCACATTGTATGTCAGGCAGCTATGTGAACACATTCGAGCGAAAGGAAGGGCGCGGCAGAACATTGGCCACACAGCCACAAAGCCATCACAAAGGACGAAGCAGCAGATTACCATCCAATGTATGTGTTTGCTACACTAACGAGAGCTTAGCTAGGGTGGGAGAATGTGCACTTCGTGTAAACCACATAAACAGAGCTAACATACAAATGGTTGTGTGCAGGAGGGTCTAGTCGGCTGAGAGCGCAATGTAGCGGTGGAGGTGATACTGAACATTTTCTTCAATGGCCAAGAGTTCTGTCGCACCCTGTAATATTATGTAACGTACAAAGACGTAAACATGATAAATTTATTTATCAAGCAATCAAATAATCATTTTACCGGAGAGCATTGCATTCTCGCTTAGGCCCTAGAGTGATTGGGTGTCTTCATGGTCCCAGTCACATGGCATGCGATCAACTATGGCCTGCCTTGCCATGTACTGTTCTTCTCTGCTCACAGCGGGTCAAGGTCGCAAGTAGGGCAACGCTACGAAATGGAACGGCTCGTGTCGACTTGGAAATCAACATGCCATGTCATTTTGGACATTTTCACTGTAACTGGCTGGCACCAACTGCTGGCACCAACTGCTGGCACTAGACCAACATCTGCCTCTTGCACGTACCACGCCTGCATCCTGGTTAGAGTCGAATGGAAGCTGTTGATAGTACCTAAACTCATAGTTATGCCTGTGTAGATCTAATCACAAGAACTAGCAATTGAATAATAGACCGAGTGGACAAGACGTTCAGGACATGTAGAGCTGCATTAGGAACAAGATTATACCCCGCATGTACATGTATGCTGCATTTCTGAACTCCGCTATAATTCCTTGGGTTCTCTGTGTTCATAAAAAAAGTTATAATTATTGTTTTCTGTATCACTGTGCTTGACACACATGACGATGCCTGCAGACTGTAGAGGTGTTGTTGGAATGACTGGAGAACCTCACCACCTTTGCAGATTTTTAAGAATGTATTCCTTTTCTCATTAGTAACTGCCTCTTCATGGTGGAATCATAAACTTACTTCAAGTATAAGTATAGCCTTCGCATTGCCATATCATTGGATGAGTTCTATAATGTTTTAAAGGTTTATATCAGCATTGCTTGATTATCAATATTGCTAGATCAATATTACTCCAAGGGTGATTTTTAAAAATGTTTCAACTATTCGACATGATTTGCTATAAAGTATTTGACACTGAATAGGTACTGTCCTGGGACTGGTCAAGTTTCACTAAGTCGCTAGGACACAGCAGAATGAAGTGGGGGCACAAGCAATTCCCTGCTTCGTACTAACGTAGAAAAAAAGTCGATGGATGGTAGTTAACCCGAATGATTTCGCCAGGGCGCTGATGTACAGTCCGATCCTGCAGTATTTTACAGAACGATGTACGGTATTTCGTGGAAGTGTGCCGGCTCTCACTGTCCCACCTGTACTGAAATACATGTACCATACTTCTACCCACTAACTTCCACAGACTTCCATCAGCCTCAGACCGAGTAGAGCCGGTAGAGGAAAGTAGAGTCTACCTTTTGGATAGATACATCTACCAAAAGAAGTACAATGCTGCTCAATGAAATCCGGTCGTGCAAGTCAAGTGCGCGCTGGGCGTTACACAGCTGTGAAATGGTGCAGGGCACAAACTTGACTCACGCGACCGGATTTCATTGAACAGCACTGTACTTCTTTTGGTAGATGTGTCGCGCTTTTACCATGTTTTACCATGTACTTAATTATTATAGGTTATATGTTCAATTGGTAGGATCGGGATCCGGATCCACTGGATTCGCACCCTTTCGATCGGTCGAATCCGGATCTGGATCCTTCGGATTTGGATCCAAATGTGACCTTTGTGCGTATATGGCGGGTAAAAATCATTTTTGTCCACACTGTGGTACGCACCCGTTGATCGAGATATGCATAATTATGGCTTGTTGACTTTTTGTACGACGCGCGCGCTCGCGCGATGAGTACGACTTTCACCCTTTTGGGTGACTTGTGAGCGCCATTTTATTACTTCGTCAACATGGCATAGGCATGGGCGGGTAATGCAAGAATTATTGTTATTATTATGGGGGGTGGGGGGATGCGTTTACTGGTGTGGTATCAGGGGTGTCATCGATTGGCGAATCTGGATTGAGTGCGAGCAGGCGGTGTGGTCCGAGCAACGCTGGCCCAATCGAACAAAACAAGGGTGTAGTACGCAAAATGTACGCATATCGTACAAAGATTCTGTGAAAGCTGTCCAAAAACGGCAAAGTCATTTCCACTCCAGCCACTCCCGGTGTGGTCGGATTCCACAAGTACACCTACTCCGGATTCGACCGGATTCGACCAAACGATCACGCTCACTCTGAGCACACTTGCTCGGGATTCGCCCAATCGATCATGCCCCAGGTAATGCTAGCATTATGGCTGGCATTATAGTCCCTTTTTTCCAGGTGGCATAATGCTGGCATTATAACACCGCTTCGCATGCAAAATAGGCATAACAAGCATAATTGCAGGTCGACAACGGTGCCATGCATGAAGCTGGCCAGGTCCAGTTCCGAAATCGTGCATCTGAACCCGTCCGGCTTCGTCCGGAGACTTGACGTTGCAAATCAACCTTCTCAGTGGATTGTTTCGGACAACATGCTCGCTGCTGTTTTTAAGTTTTTTTCTTCTACGCTTTGGCCTTGATCCAAGACGGCCTTCTTAAATCGACTTTTCCAACTTTTAAACTGGCATGATGGAGTGGTATGAGCATTATAAGTGGCATTATATCCTCATATTATGAGCACTGCCTTTAGCATTATCGCATCAAATATCTAGCATTACCCGCCCATGCCTAACATGGCAACAGTCAAGGTTCAAAATAAAGGTGTCTCTGAAGGATCCGATGGATCTGAGATCTGGATCCCGATCCTTACCAATCGAACATGCCCCGAGTGTGCAACTCCAGGCCTGTACATGCATCATGATTCACCACTGGCATCAGGTATATCCTGGGCCAGTGCAGTGCTAGTGGCGTACAAATGATAGCGAATCACTTTTGCACAGTCATGCAGTGGATGGTGTCTTTACCTGAGTGCCGGAGTGGTGCTACATTGCTGAAATTTGAACTGATGCTGCTATGACCAAGGCTGTGAGGTACATGTACATGTAGGGTATCATTATACTCTTGTTCTCTCAGTGACACTTGCATAATCAAGCATATACATGTGTTTTTTGCACTCCATACATAATTTTATTTTCATTATTTTATTGGTTTGGTGAGACTCCCATGATAGGTATCCATTTACCTCTGGAGAATCCGTAAATAAACAAACTGAACTGAAACTGTATTATGTACCCCCCCCCCCCCCCGCCCCGCGACCACGTAAGCGTATTTGTAACTCTTGGTAACCGTATGGAGGGCCTGGGTGGACAACTAATACTTGGGTCTGTTCTGAGCCTCCGATATGACGATGTTACCATGCTTACTACATGTATATATAAAGGATTTTTAAATAAAGAATTATTTAAAAATGTAAAACAAAAGGGATATACATGTACCTCGGATTCCACAGAAAGTCTGTCTGGACCATGTGCGGTCAGCATGTTGCGGCCTGCGAGTCATAGTGCATGCAGTCGCTGCCACAGATTGCGCAGTTCACTTGGTTTCCAGCAGGAGTCGCTCACTCTTCTTGTTCCTGACTGCCATAGATCATAATAGACTCTATCAAGTAATAGTTTGTGTATACTGTAAATTCATCCATTCATTCATTTCATTCTCCAAAAATAAATTGCATTTTATTTACTGTTACTTATGATGACAGTGCAGTAAAATGAGCGCTTGCGAAGTAAGGTCAGAGTGCGGACTCATGACCTCATTCTGTACTGCGCAGGTGCGCTGCTAGCTGGATCCCACGGAACTCCGGAGCGCGCAGTCCGACACCAAGCCTGTGCCTAGCGCCTGTGGTGCAGGGCAGGTCTGATGTCAAGCAACGCCTCGTGTCAGGTCATCAGGTCAAGTTAGTTAGTGCCATGCCTATCTACATATGTATGTAGGCACGGTGGACAATCAACACAATCAATTAAATAATTGCATGATCAATGCATCATAATGAGCTGCTTGCACTGGGTTGGGCCATAGCCACCAGGCGCCGGTCGGCACAGGTAGTTTCCCACACTTACCCGGACCCTCGTCCCTAGCCTAGGGCTATGTCATGTAGAAAGCAGAAAGACAATGACATCATTGCAAACACTCACATAATTATAATTATATACATGCTGTACTGCACTGGTGCACTGACTTCTGACGTTCTGTCTGACAGTTTGGGCCTCACTCCGTCAAGCGTCGGTGCCCCACACAGAGCTTTCAGAACTTTCACAGGCCCCTCGGCGAGAGTCTCAGTGATGTCTGACTGATGAGCAGTCCTCACTCCTCAGCTACATGTAGCTCCGCTGACGAGCAGGCACCACAATGACTATGTCCATGGCCTATGCTATGGTCACTCACCAGTCCAGCCCTGGCCTGGGCTGATCCAGGCATGGCAGGCATCCAAGTCTTCGCCTGCATACGTTCTTGGAAGGCGACGGTACATTCCAGATTGCTCACGCCGCAAAGCCGTAGGTCATGAATGACAGGAGAGATAACTGATGTGACGATGACCACGCGCAGCACTATGCGCGCACGGACCGGTCATGTAAGTTGAATGATGTAACGCTACTGTATGAATTATGATACTCAGTATGACTCGACTATGAACCTGTTTAAAAAAGAAATTTCGTGTGTGAAGTATGAATCACTACGCTATACTACCTATAGCCAAACAAGCGTGGTATACATGTACTCGTAGTGAGGCATGAAGTCAGAACTGAGAAGAAGATGACAGTCACCAAGGGCATATCGACAGCCGATCCTGGGACACTGATTTGTATCGCCAGCATTGTGTAGTGTGAACACCGAACCGTGGGCGTGGTACACTCACATGTCATTGACACCCCGGTGCGGTCCCAGAGTGCCAGACGCCACCACCTGTGACTTCAGCGGAATCAGCGCGGCAATACTGACCAATGGCTTGTATTTCTCTAATCTAAAGTAAGAGTCGAAGTGTGTAAAGACTTGTACAATGTCATGCAAGCGTATCAAACTAATCACATGTAGCTATCATACGTCCGCGTTACCACCGGCTTTACGTGTTGAGAATTACTAGAAACACTTGAAGTGTGTAGTACTAAAGTCAAGTTAGTAATAGTTGGCACATCCGCGCTACCACAGAGAAACACAACCAGCTTTTTGGAAGTTTCGCTATCGTTAGTACATGTATTGACATAATAATTATAAACCTCCTATGCATGTACATGTTGGGATGAGAAGAGAGGAGAGACCTGCAGACAGTGTAGGTATTGTTTTCTTATTCATTCTTACAGCCTCCTTTATGGGCAGAATAAAGACAATGAATATCTTTTCCCAAGTGTTCCACAAAATTTCAACTCGAAATTCTAAAAAGGAAACTCAAAAATCACAACAGCTGTCTGCATAATACCAACAGACCTACACATGTACATGACTGACACGTAGGTCAGCGAGCTATGCAGTATCTTAGTTAGTTTAAACTAGTTATCCAGTCAAATGAAATAGACATGCATGTACATGATGTGTGGAAAGCGAAACTGTAATACCGCTCATACAGTGTAAAATTAACCCAGTACTCGGGCCTCTGCCTGCTTATGCCGTAGTAATGCAGTAATCATGGTAATGGCCAGCAGCAAAGGTGTCACCCACACTTTCTTCTGACTCATACTCTACCTGCTACAGTGCTAGGCGACATACCAGTAGTAGGACCTGGTCTACGTAGAAGTACAGTCGAACCTCTTTAGCCAAGTAGTTTAGGACGAACACCAAGGGACCGACGGTATTTGTTCACAATAACGGGAGTTCTTCTTATCCATTTTGTCTTACCCAGGTAGTACTTCTACTACTACTAGTACTACTACAGTAGTACTAGTAGTAGTACGGGGGGGGGGGGGGGGGGCTTGCCGGTGCAGTCTGCAGTGTGACTCATGGTAACGCTATTCATTAGGCTATTATAGGGCACTGCATGTAGACTCCACCGCAGTCGATGCCGTGTAACATGGTAACACCACGGAGACACCTGGAGTCTGGACACAACACCTTACTTGTCTTGCAAGTCTGAAACTACTTGGAAGCAAAGCAGTCGATTTCGTTGGCCAGATCGAACGTTACAGAAGTAATAGTTTGACCGGGTATTTTGCCGCTGGGCTGCCAAACAAAGTCAATGAAATAACTGTGACTTGTGAATGTGAGTGCTTCGGATAGCGAAGGTACGTAGAGGAGTCTACGTACGCGAAGTAACAGTTCATTGTGCTAGTAAACCCACAAAGAGGAACGTCGTTTACATAACGGTTGGGGGAGGCGAGCATGCAGTCATTGCTGTTTTGGCTCTATCTCTGGTAACTACAGCACCTCGAGAATGAATTGCTTTTTGTCAACCGGTAAGCCTTGTTTTCGCTTGGGCATAACAACATGTCACATGGAATTTAATTGTCTGTATTTTCTGTAGATGTCGCTTCATGTCCAATTATTTTCTTGCAATCTAAAAAAGCAAGTGCACTTCGCAAAATGGACCATTACGGAGATCTGTCTGTTAAAAATCACTCACACATGCTAGAGTACAAGCATTACTTGGCAAATCCACCAGATCCAGCGCTGTTCCAGTGTTCGTGTCATTTGTCGCTGTGATGTCGCCGTGTCGGATGGAGCCGATGCAAGAGCTTTGCGGCGCAAGCACTAGCAAACCAATGCTTCCGATGCCAACCGCGTGTGTACTGTGTGTGTACTTTCCTCTCATCTCCTCCAGTGCTGCTAGGCCTGGCTTATGCGGTGTCCAGTGGACGGGCGGTGCCGGCGCCTGTGACCTCGCCAGAAGAACCACGGCTAGGAGAACCACTGATAATGATATCGAACACATTGATTCGGAGGCATCTAAATGGTCTAGTAGTGGGAGACAATCAAGTGATTTCTTCAGGGCCGCAGCCGTATTTCCACTTTACTGGACAGCAAGGTGGTGGCATGTGTTTGGACCCAGGCGTAAGATACTATTTGTTGGAAACTAAAAGAATTCCTAGTACTAGTAGTAGTAATACTTGTGCTGTCAATGCCGTTCTTGCATGAATATGATCAAAATTAATACCATGGCTGCCATAGCTACGCTGTCAGGATTTTCCTGCTGGCAAAGTCATGACGTCTTGGATGGGCAATGGGCATGACTTGTGTGTGTGTGTGTGTGTGTGTGTGTGTGTGTGTGTGTGTGTGTGTGTGTGGTGTGTGTGTGTGGTGTGTGTGTGTGTGGTGTGTGTGTGTGTGGTGTGTGTGTGTGGGGGGGGGGGGGGGCAGGGGTACCTGCAGTTGGATCCCGGGACGGATACCCTGATGCCGTCAATCCTTTTTCTGGACCTTGTCCTCACCCACTTACTGAGGTGTGGTGAGCCCATAAGTGGGATCATTTCAAGTCCACCCTAGTTTGGGGATTTTCAGGGGGTGTCGGCCGTTGGGTGGTTCAATGGCCAATTGAGTCCTCTTTCCAATATTCCTTTTGAGTCTCTCTCCCCTCTCCCGGGGAGACCCACGTGACCAGTTTTGGCAGTGAGGAGCAAGTACAAAGTACAAGTACAAGTGTGTGTGTGTGCATGGCTGTGGCTATGGCTGTGTGATGTAGACTAGGCTGAATAGTGACGGTCAATTCTTCAGCCTTGCAAGCTGTTGAATGGTGCAATCCCAGCACATGTTACTATGCCTTCTGCTGTAGCATCACTATCACCGCCTCCGGCGATGGGCGTCATAAGGTGTGTGTGTGTGGTGGTGTGCGCGTGCGCGCACGTATGTATGTATGTGTGCGTGTGTATATATATATATATATATGTGTGTGTGTGTGTGTGTGTGTGTGTGTATTTACGCGCACACGCGCGCTTGCGTATACTGTTGTGTCGCGTATAAAAGCATGACCCGTATAGAAGCATGACTAGAATAGAAGCAGATTTTTGAAGAGCGCCGTGACACAGAAGCACGATTTGAATAGAAGCATACATGCAAGTACAGTGCGTATGGGTGATAGCGTGGTCGTGTAAAAGAATATACTGCCTACAAGAATGAACTCTCTCATGTTTTCATAATCATAACATTGGTTTCAAGTGCACATTTATTCTTACAAGCAATTTTATCGTACAGTAGAATATATCGGTCCTAAGAATGGACTTTGTGTAGCAAAACATGCCAGGTTAGTGCAAAGTATACCGCCTGTAGTAATAACATCCGTCCAATGCAATTCTGCTCTGACTCGCGTTGGGTTGTAGTGCTGCAGGTTCAACTGTTGTGGTCGTGTAACTCATGTTGCATAGCCACATGGTAAGCATGTAACAGTATGTGACTATGACCCGCCGCATGCACAGTAGCACTACATTGCATGTACGATGATCTTCCTGCCTCTGCGCACATGCACATGATAGGTCACACTTGATTTATTGTGTGTAAGAAATATCGGAAATAAGAATAGAAAATCGTTTTTCAAACACCCACGCCATAACCGATACCTACTGTACATGTATGTGCACACTACATGCATGACAATGTGCACTGTACAGTGTAGACTGAAGATTTTGACGTAGAAATATGTTTTGAATAGAAGCATAACTTGAATAGAAGCATGGTTTGAGCCCCGGCTTATACGGCCGTAAGCACCTGCTTTTATACACGACATCACGCCGTGACGGTATGCGTGCGTGCCCGCGCACATGTACGTGTGTATGTGTGTATGTGTCCATTTCAAAACAAAGGCTACTCACAGACTGGGAGCTAGATGGCACCGTTCCACTGTGATATACCTAGTAATTGATAAGATCAGACTATAGAGAACACGAAGCGGCACGTCATGCGGTCATGCGTGAGTCATGCAGTCATGCATGAGTCTTATCTGGGAGGAACGTGTCGGTCTCCCAGTCATCTGCAAATCTGGGTGACCTACTTGGCAGTTAAAAATGCATGGTAAATGTGCCGAGTCAGTTTGAATTGGGCCAGGAGAAAAGAGAGACACATTGCCAAGCTAACAAACCTTGATTCTTGAAAGAGTGATGATATTCAGTAGCTGACAGTTTGCGGCATGCTGTTCATGGTGTTGCTAGTACTACGTTGCATGCTTTGCTGGATGTGATACTGATCACTGTCACTCTGTCCCCTGCTGCTCTGTCCGCGCTCTGTCCCGTGCTGCTCTTCGCTCCCAGGATTCCCGGTACGCGCTGGAGTTCATGGGCAGAGCATGTGGCCAGCAGCAATGCCACACTCACACCACTGCCATCCGCGTATTGAAGAAGAACTTCGCCGGCACGCTGATGGAGTTTACGTCTCAACACGTGCTTGGAGGGACTCTGCGTGTTTCGTTTTCAAAGAGCTTTAACGTAAGTATATGCTGCGATGATGCCTGTTGCACTCCAGTATAATTACTATGCATAGGCATGCAGACACGTAGTGTGCCGGATGAGTCCCCTGTGCATCTGGATTCTGGAATGTGGTGATATCCATATACTGTGCTTCACAAGTCAAGTCAAGGCGTACATGTATAATTATGTATGTACAGTGTGCGTGTGTATGTACTGAAGACTGAAGTATGTGTGTTTGTGAAAAATGTACAAAAGAAAATGAAAAATAAGATTCACTGGCCAGAAAAGTCACTTCAATCAGCTGTGTGGTGGATACCAGACTATAATTGTGGCGGGCAATTCATCAGCTCTTGAAGCTGCTGAATGGTGTAATTCCAACCGTGCACAAATTACAACATGTACATGTATGTCAAATATAGCTTGTTCGCTATAATTGCTTCAACGATGGGCGGGTGTGAGTAAGTATGTGTATGGATGTGTGTGTGTGTGTACGTGTTTGTGTGTGTGTGTGTGTGTGTGTGTGTGTGTGTGTGTGCGTGTGCGCGCGCGTGTGTGTGTGTGTGTGTGTGTGTGTGTGTGGTCGCACACGTCTTTCTTCTCTTTCTCATTCTCCTAGCTCTTCCGCTTTCATTCTCCTGGGTGGTTACCAACAGCCAGTGTATGCCGGAGTATGTGGTATGGTGTGTGTGTCGAAAAAGAAAAGAAAAAATGGAAAAATGAAATATAGGGATTCACTGGCCAGAAAAAGTCACTTCAATCAGCTGTGTGGTGGATACCAGGCTAAAAATAGTGGCGGTCAATTCATCAGCCTTGCAAACTGTTGAATCATGGTGCAATCCCAGCACAAGTTGCTATGTCTAACATAGCTGTTCGCTATCATCGCTTCCGATGGGCAGGTCCGAGGTCTGAGGTGTGTGTGTGTGTGTGTGTGTGTGTGTGTGTGTGTGTGTGTGTGTCCCATATGGTGCAGTGGTATGTGCAGCGATTTCCAATCGATAGATTGCGGGTTCGATTCCCGACGATTATGGTCACACACGTCTTTCTTCTCTTTCTCAGACTCTTCCTGACTTTTCTTTCATTCTCCTGGGTGGTTACCAACAGCCAGTGCATGCCGGAGTATGTGGTGTGATGTGTGTGCAGGGAAAAAAAATGAAAAAATGAAAAGACCAAAAAAAGGGATTCACTGGCCAGAAAATGTCACTCCAAATAGCTGTATGGTGTAGACCAGGCTGAATAGTGACGGTCAATTCTCCAGCCTTGCAAGCTGTTGAATGGTGTAATCCCAGCACAAGTTGCTATGGCTTCTGCCGTAGCATTGCTATCATCGCCTCCGGCGATGGGCGTCAAAGGTGTGTGTGCATGTGTGTATCCATTTTCTGGGGTAAAAAAAAAAGGTCAAGTCGCAGATTACTTCAGCAGAAGGTATTAGAACGGGTGCATAAGATAACGTAATAGGAGTACACCAGCCTTGACAATCGCCTGCAGTGCAGCTGTGTTCTGCACTCAGAGAGCATCACTTTGACATGTGCATCGCATAATGACACGTGCACCGCATATTAGCATGTGCACCGCATAATGACATGTGCATCGCGTATTGACAGGTGCATCGCATATTGACATGTGAATTCCACTCAAATGTTAACTTCCCTGTAACAAACGAATTGCTCGAGCCCGGAGAGTACCTTCTAGCACAGTCTGATGTGTAAGTAAACGATGTACCGGTTTTCTTATCACTGCCAGGATACTAATAGCTATATTGCTCATTATGGTGAAAGATGCGGCATGGGTGTTTTGTCCTTTCTTTCCCTCACGGTGTGGGTTGTGCTGCAGATGAGGATACACTATAAGACACAGAGCTCTCAGGCTGTTCAGGCTGAAACGTACTACTATGGGTTTCCACGCAACCGCTGGGTGCAGCTTAACATTGTCGTGTGCCGTGACACACTCACCGTGTACGTCAACTGTCAGCGCTTGTTCCATACCCTTCTAAATGGTCACATCAGATGTCCAGTAGCCGACGTAACATCAAGTGTTTGTGTTGGAAAAAGTGTCGACCAGCAATCCTCACCGATAACTGTGAGTTCTATATCGTGAAGGATTTCCAAAGTGATAAACCTTTTTTTTTTTTTTAAATCTTCCTGCAGTCCACGGAAGTCTGGATTAGAGGAGAGGTTTTAGCTGTTCTTAGGGTTTTTGGCTGTATTGGCCACTTTCAAGCTTCCTCTTTGCAGTGCTGAATACGTGAAAATACAATATCTGCCTATACTGAGGCGTTGTTGTATTCGCGGTAACTCTTGACTGCATTGTATTGGTTTTCCAATCAATAGGGGTGAAACGAGTATCTATTTTGACCAATCGATCACTCGTTCATAATATTCGATCGAGTATCCGATTATTTCGAGTATTTTATCAAAATTCAAAAGCACTAGATTTGCGAGTTGTCGACCAATAAGAAATTATCTGTGAACATAGAACAAAAGTCGCCAACGTCTTGTACAGAGTGTAAAGTAACGATTTTCATCAGTACTTTCATATCTCAGAACGTTACTTGCCGGTGTGATTGCATCGTCCAATTCTTAAAATACTGACTCAAAGCCATGCATAACGCATGCATACCAGTGGACCAGCGGTACAACAAAAGTTTTTGAAAAATACAATGCCAATACAAAAAAAACCCAAAAAAACGATCGAGTGCAAAATTTCGAATACTCGCTCATTTGAAATTTTCGAACGAATACTCGAATATTCGAACTAATCATTTCACCCCTACCAATCAACCAACTAAACACAGCCTCGATATTAAAAAATTCTTACGGCAGGGGGGGGGGGCTGTTTTCGCATGTTATGTGACGTGACTGATAGGGTCCAGCGGATAATGCTCCGAAAATGCGTATAATGCTAACCATAATGCTCCAAAAACTGCCTTATAATGCTGATTTTAATGCTTCAGCAAGGGATATAATGCTCTTGGTTTGGGACAAAAATGGAAGAAAGTTTGCAAATTGTCAAACTTCCAGGAAATTATGCATATCGTCGATCTGCCTCTGAAGCTGCCACATTATCTCTCACGAGCTCCACCACTTCTTAGCACTATAAGACATGATTGCTTCTCCATTGGCTGATCTCCATTCCAACTTTGATGCAGGGTTGTGGCAGAATAGTCGGTGTATCATATCTTTCCCCTAATTATCCATGTAGTGAGAGATTACCCCGCCATTATGGCAGCAGGGAATTTTCTAGAACCGCCCCAACCGGTTTTCGACCGGTTGAAATTGTTGGCGACCGGTTGAAAAGTTACAAATCAGTTCCAACCGCCCGTAATTTTCTGTGGGTGAATGGAGCTGTGAATGGTCAAACGCTTTTTTCTGGACGGACACTTCCAGCGAAGCCGCGTGGGCTGGTACTAGGGTCACGAGTTTGTACTCCAGCACCAAGAAATCTGTTAAATTGCTGTTGAGTGCCATATTTGGGTTGTATTTTGAAAATTTTTTCCAGAGGGGGGGGACCCCCCGACGCCCCCACTCTTCATTGGACCGTAACCGGTTGGAAATTTGTCCTAGAATACACCCTGGCCGCAGGTAGTCATTCATTGTTGGGATGAAGTTTATCTTGGCAAATAGTACTCCTGCCTGCAGACAAGCTGTCACTGCGTCCACTCTGTGAATAATGTCTTCTTCTGAAACACTAGACGTGAGGCCAGCTCCTGAGAGCCGATCTCAGATCGAGATCCCTCCCATTTGCGGAAATCCTGAAAACACGTGGTCAGAAGTTATTTTGCCACCCTACATCCTTTGCTTGTGCTCTCATCTTCTCCTTGAGAAGGTGTGTAGACGTATGGTTTGCCACAATACTCTTCTTTTCTGATAGCATTTGACTGTAGGCCTGGCATTACAACAGTCCACAACTACATGTATACGTGCTTCATCAGGAAAGTAAGACTAGCGCTGAGCGCTCCAATCGACTTGGTACTGCGTCCATGAGAAATTCTAGTTCTTTTCCAGCCTCCTGAGCTGGACTCGGCAAAGGCAGTTCTTTTGGAGCGAGCTCTTTCTGTTTATAGCTGTTCATTCATCCTAGTCCAAATTTATCAATGCATCAGTGTCTACTTCAGTATCGCTAGAGATGCTGTCGCCAGAGCCTATGGCACAACGAGAAAACTCTTCTTCGTCTGTTTGATATTCACTTTGCGTATGTCTCCTACATAGCTCTCTATTATTCTAAAAGAAACCGCGTAAATAATTTCTCCGGATTTGTGTAACTGCCTCGGTTGGGCATGCATGCGTCATGGCTTGTATGCATTTACCTGACCACATCGCGCGCTACATAACGTTTTATCAAGAGTACAGTTATGTACTCTTGGTTTCATGAAGCGATGGGCTAGGTAAATGTAGCATTAGTGCTAAAGGTGTTACCATGGTTACGTGTCTACACAATCACAAAGTCATGTGCCGGTACAATGCATAAGGTCTGGTTGCACCTCATGTCATGATCATCGTAGCCGATTGTTGACAAAAAGACAAAAACCTGGGATTTCCCGATATTACACAGTATGAAACTCGTTACGCCGCTCAAACCTCACATAATGCTCGTTTTGTTCCTTTCTAATGCTCCATAATGCTCTGATGCTCGGATAGTCTTATAATGCCGAAGATAATGCCGGCATTATCCGCTGGACCCTAGTGACTGATCCAATCATACTGCCATACCGTATTTCCTCGATTAATAGACCCGGTCTTTTTCTTTTTTTAAGAGGGTCTCTTATTTGGGCATGGTCCATTATTCGAGCACGGTCCACTATATTTTCATCGGCACATCCCTGGAAATGGTGACTTTTTTAACACGTCATAATATAGAAGTTCTATATTATGACATGTTAAAAATCCACCATTTCCAGCGATAAGCCGATGAAAATATAGTGGCCCGTGCTCAAATAATGAAAGAAAGCACTAGCCACTACAAAAATTGTAGGTGCGCAACCTAAAATCGCGTCCTTTTTTGATCCAGCACGTGCTTTCTTAGTGCGCATGCGCAAAGCGATGAACTCAAATAAGAGACCGGGTCTCTTATTCGGGCATGGTCTACTATTTTTCCGTGAGGCCTCTAGGAGGGTCTACTATTTGAGCATGGTCTATTATTCGAGCAGGGTCCATTAATCGAGGAAATACGGTATGTTATTTTTCTTGTGCCTCTAGCTCATAAGCTTAGGTGTCGTACATAATTATAATACCCGCATAATAAAATGAATAGGATCGATTAATAAAGGGGTAAACAGCAGCATTCGGAACTATAAAGATTTTCATCAACCACCACACCCGTGATATCTGCGCTCTCCAGCCGACCTCGACACATTGCTACAGCACACCACCGGCAAAGCGACACATTCGTTGGTACTGAACTCCTTCATACCTCAATTGACGAGAGTTTATACTTGACACAGCTGCATGAAGGAATTCAGTACCAACGGATGTGTCGCTTTGCTAGTGGTGTGCTGTGCCAATGTGTCGAGGTTGGCTGGAGAGCGCAGTTATCGCGTGGTGGTGGTGGTTGATGAAGGATCGGTTAATCATACATAATTGTTGTTGTCCAGTCCCCGAGATCCCAAGCGATTATGTACAGTAAAACCTGTAACTGTTAGACGGCCACCGTGACTAGCGACCAACCTGGTAATTTCGACCATTTCGCCAGGCACGGACGGTCTCACATTCGAAATTAACTGCTACTAGTGACTACCTGCTCAACATGACCAGCGACCGCCTTTTCTTGTCCCAAGGTCGATTTTTGACCAGTACCTAGCGACCGAGAGTGTAGGAAATCAAAGGTTGTTTGGAGCTCCTTCTTTGAAATTTTCATGATTTTCCTGTAAGTTTTCCATGGTCTTGAACAGACTCTTTTGATGCTGCAACTGAAAAATGAACGCAGGTTCATTCGGCTTTGGAAAGCAATACACCTGTCATGGTTTCAAGTGCTACAAACATGATAGAAAATGTCTTTGAGAGCGAGAGTGTCGTAGGTGCTCTCGGATTGATGCTACTGCTTGAATGCCGGAGAAATGAAGACCGTGAGATGCTCTGTCCATCACGCACTAGTGCCCAGTCGCACAGATGAACACTGCAGTTCTAATATTCTACGGACCGTAGTACGGTACGTTGCAGTGGCTCGGCTACTGTGGCAATGGATGTTGATAAACTTTGTCGTTTCAACAAGAAATTTAAAGCCCAGTGCCATGCAAAACTTCCACAGGGAACACTTGGCCCGTGCCCACAGAAGTATACTGTAGTAACTGAGTTTGATATCAACAGTACAACGTAATTTTTTCTCTCTCAAAATGCTGTGTGATCTGTAATAAGAATGGCATTGCGCACATGTGGGGTAATTGTATTAGCCGGCTTCGTTTGGACATGCATATCATATAATGGGATCCACATATGGTCACGTGGTGCGAACCTCCAACTGAAGACCACCTGCCACTAGAGGCCGCTTTTCACCCCAAGGTTGAGGGGGGGGGGGCGTTAGTTACAGATCTTATTGTATTAGAGAGGTTTTAAGATGCACGTTATTTTTGACGTGACGTGAAATTTCAGCTCGCGTTATTTGGCTCGCGCGTTGAAAACAACGTGAGTGACCTGCAGCTCACGTCGGAATTTGGAGTTTTACACCAAATTTGACGTGAAATTGCGCGTCACGTCAGAAATAAAGTGCATCTTAAGTTCTTAACCTCTCTATCATCAGGACTTGACCTGTATACGGCATTGTACAGACATCACCTACTAGTATTATAGTATTGCAGAGTTCCGATATCCTTTTTCTACCAAACGTTTTGTCAATGGTGTGGCCTATAGATGGACGTTCGTGACATGGCCTTGATGGCTGGTGATGCAACTGAACATTTATGTCCTGAACTTCATGGTAAGAAGCTTGGCTAGTGCTCTCGCGCCCCCCCCCCCCCCCTCTCTCTCTCTCTCTCTCTCTCTCTCTCTCTCTCTCTCTCTCTCTCTCTCTCTCTCTCTCTCTCTCTCTCTCTCTCTCTCTCTCTCTCTCTCTCTCTCTCTCTCTCTCTCTCTCTCTCTCTCTCTCTCTCTCTCTCTCTTGCTCTCGGTGTCCATCGCCCATTTATCAACTGTTCTACTGAATGCATGCGAATGAGTTACATGATGATTTCAAATGAGCCGGACCATGGCCAATGCATGACCTGGGCACGGAGTACATATTTATCATGTTTTCATTTTCTGGCCGCTGGGGCAATTCAGTGTCAATTTTCTATATCGCACATAGGAACAGGGTAGCCGATTCCATCACTTAGTCAAAACAGATCATTTCCCTTTAAAGGCGAAATGATTAAAAAAGCTTCAGACCCATTCTCAAGTGAATACACGGACGTGAAGCTCAGCAAGATAAACTTTCATTACCCACACACCCATACGCGCACATACACAGCATACAGTGGGAGACACAGCGGGGGACAATGGAGCTTGCAGTGCTCATTTCATTGGAAATTATCTGGACATGTATACGTCAGCACCCTTACTTGCATTGTGCATCTTCTTCAGCCATATCAGTTATTGAGCATAACATGACGCAACTCAAGCAGACCCGAGAAAGCCTTATTCAGGAGATAGAAGACACAAATTCCGAGATGAAATTTGAAATGGCATCTCGCATGGAGCAGACTGTGGAGAAGGAGAAGTGCCGGACAAATTCCGAGATGCTACATGAAAATGTCATGGCACGAACTAGAGACGTGAGTACAGTTTGAAAATGTACTGGGACTAGCTACACTATCTGCACAATATGCGTTGGACATGTGTGTATGTGCGTGCGTGTGTGTGTGTGTGTGTTGCACACGCGTGTGTGCCCATGTGTGCGTGCATATGTGTATATATTTTGTGCATATACTCAATCTGCGGACAGAACTGTTTCGTCCTTTGTGGACTCATCAGCGCAGCACAGAGAAAACAAGGCCGAACCGGATATTTTTCATTGCTATCAGGTTCGGCCTCGTTTTCTCTGTGCTGCGCTGATGAGTCCACAAAGGACGAAACAGTTCTATCCGCAGATTGAGCTTTGCATAATGCAGTCAGCAAATGCACTGCCCCACATGAGAGTGCTCAACTACTACAAGAGCTGGAGCGAAATACTCGATCTGTGGACAGAACTGTTTCGTCCTTTGTGGACTCATCAGCGCAGCACAGAGAAAATGAGTGCCGAACCTGAAAAACATTTTTTCCCCGAATGTACCTTGTGAGTGTGTTGATATGGTTGCTGTGTTGTTGCTGACCTAGATCGTAATCATGACGGAGCAAGTGGACTCTGTGCAAGAACAACTGGTATCATGTACACGTGATGTGGCCAACATTACCTGTAACGTCAGCGGAACTCTGTATGCTGTCGGCTCCAGTGTGCCACATCAATGCCAGATCTGTGAATGTGCGGTAAGTATTACTCCTGGGTGGTTGAATCATTCCGGAAAGGAACAGGGTGGAGATAAAACCGGCTGCTCAAGGTTGACTCCATCTAGGACATGCACTTCCTGTGGAGAGGAAACAAAAAAAGGACTAGCTGGAGGGAAGAAAACAGATGCAACCGTGTAGAGCACCGGCCCAGGCCCAAGGTACTTGAATGAAAATCCAGTGCGAACAGAGGTTGAAACAGACTGGTTAAAAATAGACCGAGAAATGGTAAGAGGGCAGGTTCTACACCGTTGTAACTATGCCAAGATTCTATGTACATGTATACGGGTGAGCGGTGTTTGTAGTTTCAAAGGTTGCAGTCCATAGCTTGATTACTGATGTACAAGTAATGATTAAAAGTACTTCTGTGGATGCGAAGAAAGACAGACCGCTGCAAATTGTGTACTCATACTCTCGTAAGTGATACCCAGGGCCTGCTGGAGAGCCGGGTCAGCCGGGTCACGCGCCCGGCTGGGGAACTGCACGACCTGGCTGAACAGATAACACCGGGTCCAGTCTGACCCGGCTGAAAAATGTCTCAAACTGACAATGGATTCATAAAATTCCAGTATTTTACGACTCGCGGACCCCATCTCTTGCAAATCTAGCGCAACCGTACACACTACAGTCTACAAGCGACAGAAACTCGGCTAGGGTCAACTGCGGTCACGTCAACTGGTTCGAGCACGATCTGGCCAGCTAGCGCCGGCGAGCAGGAAGTCAGGACATACAAAGTCGATGGGGCAGGCAGTCAAAAGCGTTACTTTGAAGTTTTTGGCTATAGCCTTGACACAGTTGCAATTTTTCAGCCGACTGGTGATTTGGACGATGGAGCCCGCAGCGAAGAGAAAAAGAACTCACGCTTTCCAAGACTCTTGGAAGAAAGGTCGACCCTGGCTGGACTACGACCATGCCAGTCTATCCATGTCATGCGCTTTGTGCAAGACGCATTTCCAAAGGAAGATGAGCGGCGATGGATTTGGTCGTTCGTCCTGCTACTAGCAATAATTAGAAAACAGAATTCCTTTTTTTCAAATTGTTAAATCAGAATCCAATGGAACTGCTTTGCATTCTTCACGTAATGTCGTTTACCTTTTACGTTTGCGGACTTTGATAGTTCGCCTTGTTCTCTAAAATTTCCGATTTCCGGTAATAAATTCGCCTTTCCGTTTCCTGCGTTTTGAGCAGGCTTTTTGGTTGTTTTTCTGCCGGATGATCTGACCCGGCTTGACCCGGCTGGCCTGCATGCGCCAGGTACACTCTGACCGGGCTGTGTTGAATGTCTAGAGCAGGCCCTGATACCATATATATATATATATATACTCAATCTGCGGACAGAACTGTTTCGTCCTTTGTGGACTCGTCAGCGCAGCACAGAGGAAATGAGGCCGAACCTGATAGCAATGGAAATAAAAATTTCCCATCAGGCCCGAACGTACCTTGCCAGAGTGCTCAAACTGACAAGTCAGTGAGCTCTGCATAAAGCAAACAGCAAAGGCACTACCCCACGCAAGAGTGCTCAACTGCTACAAGAGCAGGAGCGAAATACTCAATCTGCGGACAGAACTGTTTCGTCCTTTGTGGACTCGTCAGCGCAGCACAGAGGAAATGAGGCCGAACCTGATAGCAATGGAAATAAAAATTTCCCATCAGGCCCGAACGTACCTTGCCAGAGTGCTCAAACTGACAAGTCAGTGAGCTCTGCATAAAGCAAACAGCAAAGGCACTACCCCACGCAAGAGTGCTCAACTGCTACAAGAGCAGGAGCGAAATACTCAATCTGCGGACAGAACTGTTTCGTCCTTTGTGGACTCGTCAGCGCAGCACAGAGGAAATGAGGCCGAACCTGATAGCAATGGAAATAAAAATTTCCCATCAGGCCCGAACGTACCTTGCCAGAGTGCTCAAACTGACAAGTCAGTGAGCTCTGCATAAAGCAAACAGCAAAGGCACTACCCCACGCAAGAGTGCTCAACTGCTACAAGAGCAGGAGCGAAATACTCAATCTGCGGACAGAACTGTTTCGTCCTTTGTGGACTCGTCAGCGCAGCACAGAGGAAATGAGGCCGAACCTGATAGCAATGGAAATAAAAATTTCCCATCAGGCCCGAACGTACCTTGCCAGAGTGCTCAAACTGACAAGTCAGTGAGCTCTGCATAAAGCAAACAGCAAAGGCACTACCCCACGCAAGAGTGCTCAACTGCTACAAGAGCAGGAGCGAAATACTCAATCTGCGGACAGAACTGTTTCGTCCTTTGTGGACTCGTCAGCGCAGCACAGAGGAAATGAGGCCGAACCTGATAGCAATGGAAATAAAAATTTCCCATCAGGCCCGAACGTACCTTGCCAGAGTGCTCAAACTGACAAGTCAGTGAGCTCTGCATAAAGCAAACAGCAAAGGCACTACCCCACGCAAGAGTGCTCAACTGCTACAAGAGCAGGAGCGAAATACTCAATCTGCGGACAGAACTGTTTCGTCCTTTGTGGACTCGTCAGCGCAGCACAGAGGAAATGAGGCCGAACCTGATAGCAATGGAAATAAAAATTTCCCATCAGGCCCGAACGTACCTTGCCAGAGTGCTCAAACTGACAAGTCAGTGAGCTCTGCATAAAGCAAACAGCAAAGGCACTACCCCACGCAAGAGTGCTCAACTGCTACAAGAGCAGGAGCGAAATACTCAATCTGCGGACAGAACTGTTTCGTCCTTTGTGGACTCGTCAGCGCAGCACAGAGGAAATGAGGCCGAACCTGATAGCAATGGAAATAAAAATTTCCCATCAGGCCCGAACGTACCTTGCCAGAGTGCTCAAACTGACAAGTCAGTGAGCTCTGCATAAAGCAAACAGCAAAGGCACTACCCCACGCAAGAGTGCTCAACTGCTACAAGAGCAGGAGCGAAATACTCAATCTGCGGACAGAACTGTTTCGTCCTTTGTGGACTCGTCAGCGCAGCACAGAGGAAATGAGGCCGAACCTGATAGCAATGGAAATAAAAATTTCCCATCAGGCCCGAACGTACCTTGCCAGAGTGCTCAAACTGACAAGTCAGTGAGCTCTGCATAAAGCAAACAGCAAAGGCACTACCCCACGCAAGAGTGCTCAACTGCTACAAGAGCAGGAGCGAAATACTCAATCTGCGGACAGAACTGTTTCGTCCTTTGTGGACTCGTCAGCGCAGCACAGAGGAAATGAGGCCGAACCTGATAGCAATGGAAATAAAAATTTCCCATCAGGCCCGAACGTACCTTGCCAGAGTGCTCAAACTGACAAGTCAGTGAGCTCTGCATAAAGCAAACAGCAAAGGCACTACCCCACGCAAGAGTGCTCAACTGCTACAAGAGCAGGAGCGAAATACTCAATCTGCGGACAGAACTGTTTCGTCCTTTGTGGACTCGTCAGCGCAGCACAGAGGAAATGAGGCCGAACCTGATAGCAATGGAAATAAAAATTTCCCATCAGGCCCGAACGTACCTTGCCAGAGTGCTCAAACTGACAAGTCAGTGAGCTCTGCATATATATATTTACTCAATCTGCGGACAGCATGCTGTTTCGTTCTTTTTGAACTCATCAGCGCAGCACAGAGGAAATGAGGCCGAACCTGATAGCAATGGAAATAAAAATTTCCAATCAGGCCCGAAAGTACCTTGCCAGAGTGCTCAAACTGACAAGTCAGTGAGCTCTGCATAACGCAAACAGCAAAGGCACTACCCCACGCAAGAGTGCTCAACTGCTACAAGAGCAGGAGCGAAATATATATATTTAAATAGAGAGGTAGGCGAACAAAATTTATATACACACAACAACAAGGTTGTCAGTTTCATAATACCAAAAGCCTCCAGTGTGAATCGGTGCGCGCTGTTTCGGGCTGGTGTGATCACACTGAAGCTGCTGTTGCGTTCCTGTGGGATGCATTCAGGCTGCGCCTGCAAATGCTTTGTGATGGCGCTATCACTTGTTGCCACACGTTTGTCAGGCGGCTTCTTGTACAGCTTGTCTGGGATATGCTGCTTGATCCTTTCCGAGAGTCGCTGACATGTCTCACCAACGTACGTCCGCTCACAGCAACACGCATACTTATAAATAAAATTACTATTTTCAAGAGTTGGTGAAACATCCTTCGCGATAGACCTGAATGCGGGTCTGGTTGTATAAATTACAATGGGGGATACTGTAGGATAGCAGTTCAAAATTGCAGCTTTAATCTTTTTGCGGAAGGCAATGCAATTTTGCCCTTTCCACGGCAATTTTGTGATAATACGCGTTGCAGGTTCAAGTTGTGCAGAAGCTGTATCTGGGCTAGGTTCAAGAACGCTTGTCATGACTCGCTTGAGTACTTTGAGTGGGTAACCGTTAGAACACAGAATATCCTCTAGCTTAGCAATTTCAGCTGATAATAGTGATGGTGAGCAGATGGTTTTAGCTCTAAAAGTTAATGATCTGATCAAATTGATTTTGTTTCTAGTGTCACAAAACGAGTCCCAGCGGGTGTAAAGACCTGTGAACGTCGGCTTTCTATATACTGTGGTGAGCAATTCTGTGGAAGAATGCTTAATCAATACATCAAGAAACGGCAATTCTCCATTATTCTCCTCCTCCATTGTAAACTGGAGAGCTGGGTGAAGATTATTTAAACGCTCAGAGAATTCCAATGCCAGTTTCCGGTTGTGAAATGCTGCGAATGTGTCATCCACATAACGCCTATAGAATTGGGGCCAATGACTGTCTGGAATTGTGTTTTCAAAATATCCAACAAAGATATTGGCTAGCACGGGGCCCAAGGGTGAACCCATGGCTACTCCGTCCCTCTGTGCGTACATATTGCCGTTGAAACTGAACTGCACGTCTGATGTGGCTTTGAAAAGCAGCTTCTTGAAAACGAGATCTTGGGGTATTTGCGGGGCTGATATTTCATCATCATGGTATAGCGACTGTATGCAGATATCTATTGTTTCCTTGAGAGGCACGTTTGTAAAGAGGCTGACTACATCGAAAGCCGGAGCACAGGAACAGCGATCCAGAGTTCTCTGCCTGCTGCTGGCCAAATTCCCGTACATCATCCACGAACTCGAATGTATCCTTAGTTGCGTGGGTGGAATATTTTTTCAGGACTGGTTTTAGTAATTCAGCTAACCACTTGGCCATTTCGTGTTGGGGAGCATTGATCATGGACAGGATTGGTCGAAGTGGCACGTCTTTCTTATGTATTTTCGGTACGCCATAGAGCACAGGTCGGCACGAGCCAACGGGTCGGATCCGGTCGTAATCTATATTGAGTATTTTTCCAGCCTTTTTGTATCGCAATAGGTATGCCTGCAAGGCGCGTTCATCCAGGTAAGTGCGGTCATGCGTTTCCGTCGGTCCCAGGAGTTGAAACTTCGATGCATCAGCCAGAATAGCATTCATCTTGTCATTGTAATCACTTCGCTGTATTATCACCACTCCATTCCCTTTGTCCGGCCTGCTGATTATTATATCTTTGTCATTCTTTATTTTCCTGATGGCTGCCATATGCTTGTCGTTGAGGGGATAATCGGTTTTATCTGCTTTACTGTTACTAAACTCTTCTGCAAGATTCGCCAACGCTGCTTGACACGTATCCCTCTTGGCATCACTCACTGGTACGCAGCGCTCCAATTGATCATTTGTTAGTTCGAATTCTGCCTGCACAATCTCCTTGTCCATTCTGGAACTAGGGGGGACTCCAAACTTCAAGCCCCTGCACAGTACGTCTTTTTCAATATTAGTTAGCATAACTCCGGCCAAGTTGAGTAGGTGGGAGTGTTTTAATTCGCTTGAGCCCTTCTCATAGCGCACCTCCCTCCTGAGTGCATCGTCAAACTTACTTTTGATCCGGCATTGTAATCTTGAGGAGGTCTGGTTGATGAGTTTCGCGAACCTGAAGCGGTCCAGCACGCTAAGGCTCCGATTGACTTCGTGAAGAACACGGCGGTACTCGAGGAGAAAGTGTTCCAAGTCAGCGGTGGTCCTCTCCAGTTATATATATATATGCAACCATACACATCCAATTCAGATAAAGCAGATTGGATGCCTGTGCCACAGTATCGTGTTGGAGCTGTTGTCTACTGCTGATATTTCAGTATGTACGTGTGAATGTATGTACACAGCTATCCAAGGCTGTAAAACACTCCGTTGAGAAAACTAGGTGGCTGTAGATTTCAATTTCTTTTTTTAGTGAACCATGATCTGTATTGTATCCTTCATGCAACCCTAGGCTGGCGGTCAGGTGAAATGCACAGAGGAACCGTGTACCCCCATTGTGCCAGGCACGGAGTCACGTTCATGTCCTTACGGAAGGGTTGTGCCGAAGGACGTGGAGAACGGAATTTGCTGTGATACATGCCAAAACGGTAAGTGCGGATGTAGAGACGAAGTTGTTAATATAGCACCTGCTGCCTGAGGAACGACATAGCACCTGAATTCTCAGATAATGCTCAGTCAGTAAAGACCTGATATTACGTTGGCTTCATACATATACTACCAATAGTACATAGGATTAATTATCGCCCCCTCCCCCCCTCCCCCTCCCCCCCCCCTCCCTTGATAACAAGCACCCACATGTCCACTCACACAACCGTCCCAGACTTGTTTGGGGGTGGAATGCTTCTTGTGTTTTGCCGAACACGCTATGTCCTGCTTGATTCGGCCGAATCCCTAATTACTATCTTTTTAAATAGCACAATTACCATTAAGTACTGCTGATCCGCCCCCTCTCTAATTTCCGTTCCCTGTTCAATTTCTACCTGTTAAGTTACTTCAGCATGTACACTTGCACTGCTGTACACATGCGTGTCGGTGCCGATATGCATGTAGATGAAAATGTGCACAATCCAGCATGGCAACTCTGACCTTCTGCGTAGTTGCACACAGCACTGCACTTAAGAGCCTTGATCTAGTTTCTGCAACCCCCCTCCCATCGAAAACCAGCTGGAAAGCGACACGGCATGGGGGGGGGGGGGGGGGGTCAATGGGCACTTTACGGCACCTATCAGTGATCTGACATGAAGCCATGCACAGTGGAAAGGAAACAAACGGTCAAGGAGGAAAATATATCTGGCGATTTTGCAAACGAGCAAAGTGATGGATGCGAGAGGTTGGCGTGATTACAGTGAGATCCCTGCAAGCATCCGCTATCTATGATAGTATGTTGCCCTGCAAGCATCCGCTATCTATGATAGTATGTTGCCCTGCAGCGACGCTCATGCACAGGCCTGTGTACAGTATGCCTACAGGCAACCTCAACCACAGAGACTTCACCAGGGCTACGCCGGACATGCCCAATGTGCCCGTGTCGTTCCTGTGGACCGAATGCAAGTGCATCCTTGACGGTCGAGTGCCTGGCCACCTTGTGTGCGAACAGCCCGAGGCTGACCCTGCCGCATCGAGTACCCCATCCTTCATGTGATCCCGTAGATAGCTTCCTGGGCTGGGAAGAACGCGACTAGCCCGAGGAGAGCCCCTGCCACTGTGATGCGGCAAGGCTGCCCAGCTTAGGCCGCCGTGTGGCGCAGGTAGCATGAGCTGAACCGTACACCAAGGGTGGGTTGTAAGTACAGCTTCCTGGCACGGAAAATTTCGTTATAATCCGAGTGTCCCGTGGTTTCCTGTATGGAAGGAGCTTTCGCCACCGGCTTGGGTCAAGTTTACTACTTCCTCCTGCGCTACATTCTGGACTTGGTCATACGTGTAGATTTCTTCCTTGGGACTTCCCCTTTTTAGTGTGCACCAGTACTATGTTTACTTTCTGGGAAGGGTTGCTATCGGTAAACTGAGGCCGCTCTATCAAGTTAGTATTCACACCGGCTTCTTGAAACAGCACTTTCTTATTTCTAATTCTGTTTTTGCAGTTACCGGAGCTTGTCGCTACAGGAATAAATTCTATGAACATGGCAGTGTGTTCAAAAACCTAGACGGAGGTGTTTGCTCGCCTAATTGTTCATGTCAGGTAAGGCTAATTCAGTGTTACGATTAGTCATGCACATCTTGCGTGTTCTGGTGTTTTGATGTAAGTGATGTGCCAGTTAGGATTTGGTCTGAATGGTTCGGGGAGGCTAACTGGGTTGATATGTGTAGTGTGGTGTGTAGCGACAACTTGACCAGTTGAGATGCATATTACGTTACTCTAGGTGCACTTCACTACAGGTATGGTGGGTTTGTATGATGCCGAGTTTTAGGCCGCGCTGTCCAGGTGTTGTGATTTTCTGGCTACTGCAATCAAGAATGTGCAGTCATCACACATGAGCATTGCCGGGCACTGAGAAACATCAGCCCCGGCACAGAGCTAGTTGGAACACTGGTACTACACTACCCAGTATGCAAACTCACACTTTTTTTGAAAGACATTCTGAATCTCATCCGCTGGCAACAGCGTTGAAAACATGTTTATATGTCTGAAATTGTCCAGCAAGAATAATTCTGAGCCCACAGGCTGCTGTTTCAGCTGTCTACATGTACATGCATGTGATATGTGTGCATCTGCCCTGTGTTGTGTAGAACCATAAGAAAGTGTGTCCCACTGAGGCCTGTGAACAGTTGCCATGTCAACCGGCTCAACGTTATACACCAGTAGGTCAATGTTGTCCAAGGTGTACAGGTGAGTGGCTACGTGATCTGTATGATCTGTATGCCATATATGTACTATGTAGCATGGATGTAACCCTTATAAGCCTAGGAACATGCTATTACAGTAAAACCTGTGTTCCCGGACCCTGTACTAAGCGGAATCCTGTATTGACCAGACACATGTTCATGCACTAAAGTGCTGTGGATTGAACATGCATCCCTGGTTCAAGCGGAATCCTGTCATATCGGGACAGTTTCCGCTGCGCCAAGGTCATCAGGTTAGGGCAGGTTTTACTTAACTCATTTTTATCAGTGAATATCGGAACCGCACTCCTTAGCAAATTCTACCAGCATCGGACTTAGTAGAGGCTATAGAGCTTGTATACTTGGCTAGCCAGTGTTGGTAGAACATTGCAGAACACTATACAGCTCCCCAACGTAAACTGGTAGAGTTATCACTGTGTGTAGAGTAAATGTACAAGTACTGATGATAGAAGCATAAGCGCACCCTACTTGTGACACATTTCAGTGCATATTGATAATAAGTCAATGTTCAGCATCATAGACTTACTGATTCCAAGCAAAGAATTATCTGGGAACTAAATATTTCAAGCTGTAGCTAGATTGCCTGAAGTGTCTGCACCTGCATCCTTGCCATTACTACGGGGAAACGAGTACCTTTACCTATGTGGACAAAATGACAAAAAGCTCTTTAGTACAAGGTAAGCGGTTGCTTTGCTTGCTTCATTGTTGTAGAGTTCGTCAATTGGCTTTTTGTGTACCTTTTGTGTGTTCAGAGGAGGAGAATCCATGTGAAGCCAATCCTTCGCCGTGTGCACGCCATCAAGGAGATGCGCCGTGGACGTGTGTTAACCGTGGTGGCAGAGCCGAGTGTATTTGCTACTTTATTCCATCTGGAGGTGGCTGTTACAGTAAGTCTGAACAGTAAATGCTTGTCGTCAACTCTGCGATGTACAAACTAACAGTTGCACATACTTCAACGCAACTAAAGCTGCAAGTTTGTATCCCTGGCAATGTTTAAACCTGGAGAGCACTATATAAGTGATGCTCTTCAGGCACAATGTTCATCAGCCTACTCAAGCTCTCAACTGAGCAGGGGTGAATTCCCCCGTTATACTGTGTATTGAGCAAGGAGCGGTACCGTTTTCTTGCCGGTTTGCCGAGTCGAAGGTTCGAGGGACTTCTCGTGACCCCCGGATAGCAGTCGTGAGTCAGTCAAGTGTCAAGTCAAGTCGGCAGAAAAGCGCGAGCTCCAGCGCAGATAGCAAACACCTTTCTTGCAAGTAAAGTTCCGGACAGTATCAGTGCTGCGGGCATCACTACACATCTTTACACTTACACTTTCGCATTCCTCAGTGGCGCAGTAAAACGGGTGTGGTGAATGGGGTTTCTACCTTGATCTCTGGTTTGTGGCTCTGATCAACCCTCTCCCACCATTTAGGAGCTTCATCTGACAGGTGATCATGTGACGGTGGTGGTGGTATGCCATGGTAGTGGAAGGGTAGTTCTTGACCTATCCGGCGCCTGGATCCGCTAGTGGACTGTTAGGCTTTCCAATGGCCGTAAGATAATTGGAAGGCACATATAATTATGTCTTTGTGTGGAACCGCGACAATGATGATGGTCCTGTGTTAGTCTGCGCGAAACGGACTCAGCCCGATATGATTACTTCATGTTGCAGTGGCCTACTCCATCCGCATTCAGTGGAGAATTCTGGCATGATGTCTCTCTCTCTCTCTCTCTCTCTCTCTCTCTCTCTCTCTCTCTCTCTCTCTCTCTCTCTCTGTTTTTTGTTTTTGTTTGTTTCGGGTCGTTTGGATGTGCTGTGCTGTCGGCCTGAATTGGCTCTGAGTGGCAGCGAGGGCAGGGCATTTTGCAGGTTACTTGTAGGGGTTGGGTCTGTTGCAGATGTTGCAGGTGGATCACGGTGACATCTGCTTGGGGTCTCTTGTGACATAGCTATGGTGCTTGTCGCAGGCCAGGGTTATTTTCCTTGCACGTTTGACTCGTATTGTCAGACGTGTATGCCTGTTAAGCTGTGTGCACAACTGGCGCGTGTACGCGTGAAACCACGCGTTTGTGCGTACTTTTGCTGGCTTTTGGGGCTTCATGCGTACGGAAACGCACCGAAATGGAAATTCCAACATGTTGGAATTTTCAGCACGCATCAGGCGCGTCAGTATCAGCGTACATGCCAGTCACTTTGACGGGCGGAGTCAAAACATTAGTACTCGAAGGTGTCGCACGCGCTAAATACGACTCGGATTGCTCTTTTTTGTGAAAGCCTGAGCGCGCGTTTGGGCACGCATGAAGCGCAAACGTACCGCGTCTACGCGCCAGTTGGGAACACAGCTTTATGATTGATCCGAGTTGTTACGGAACCCGGACTGCCCACTGGCACGCAACACTCTCACAACATCTAGCAACCACAACAGAGCTTTCGACTGAAAGAAGATAGATATGCTTCTATCACCACTAGATTCAACTACTGAATAGAGAGAGATAGTAGATGCAAAGAATATATGGTAGAGAAAACGCCGACAACGCTGGCGAGCCACATTGTATGTCAGGCAGCTATGCGAACACATCCGAGAAAAAGGAAGGGTGCGGCAGAACATTGGCCATACAGCCGCAGAGCCGACACAAAGGATGAAGCAGCAGATTACCATCCAATGTATGTGTTTGCTACACTAGCGAGAGCTTAGCAAGTTAGCTACATCTTCTAGAAAGCTTCTAGAAGAGCAAGGGCAGGAGAACGTGCACTTCGTGTAAACCATATCAACAGAGCTAACGTACAAAGATGTAAAAATGATTTACACAAGAGAGAGTTTGGAAGCTTTGTTACAGATTTATTGATTTATCAAGCAATCAAATAGTCATCTTACCGGAGAGCATTGCATTCTCGCTTATGCCCTAGATTGATTGGGTGTCTTCATGGTCACAGTCACATGTCATGCGATCAACTATGGCCTGCCTTGCCATGTACTGTTCTTCTCTGCTCACAGCGGGTCAAGGTCGCAAGTAGGGCAACGCTATGAAATGGAACGGCTCCCGTCGACTTGGAAATCAACGTGCCATGTTATTTTTGGACATTTTCACTGTAACTAGCCGGCGCCAACTGCTGGCACTAGACTAGCATCTGCCTCTTGCACGTACCACGCCTGCATCCTGGTTAGAGTCGAATGGAAGCTGTTGATAGTACCTAAACTCATAGTTATGCCTGTGTAGATCTAATCACAAGAACTAGCGTGCTAAACCAAACGGGGAAAAAATTCAGGACGTGCCGCACTTTGTTGGGAACAAGACGGTACCCCGCATGTACTTGTGCATGTGTGCTGCATTTCTGAACTCCGCTGCTTCTCTTGGTTCTCTGTGTTCACACTGATTTTAACCATTAGACCGTGATCGTGTTTTCTGTATCGCTGTGTTTGACATACATGTATACAGCGTAGAGATGGTGTTAGAATGACAGGAAAACCATTGAAAACCTCACCACCTTTGCACTATTGAACTGATCCATGTATATGGCCGATGTTAAGCCGGCTAGATGTACACAGATGCCACTATGAAAAAAGATATCTACTTTAAAAACTCTACGCTTTGCTATAGCGCCTTTGATTCAGGCAATTTATCGCCTGCAATTGCAATTGGTGAGGCGCATTCTTGTATTATATTTTTTGCACGAATAACTCTCGCTATTAGGTCGTGATAGGAGCAAAGCAACCAATCATGCCAGAGGACACGCTCTAGTGTGTTTGTGGGAGTCTTAGCTCTGGTTTGCTTGCCATTGCTTCACTGCTGCACTCTCTGACTGTCCATCTCTCAATGTGCCTTCCGGCTTGTACAGTTGTAAAGTGGTATGCGGGTCGGGGAAGCCGTGTAGTCGTGTAGTCGTGCAGCGGTCTACCCACTCTCTTTGACTTGTCAGTGCTCTTTAGTATACACGCATTTGTGTATGTGTATGTCCAAATAATTTCAGAAGTAAAATTCCCTCTACTGTAGGAATGACACCGTTGTGTCATCATACTACGGTGTAGTAATAGACCCATGCTTGTGCAGTTACCGGAGCAGATTACTCCTGCATGATGAAGAAAATCAGTGCTTCACATCACGTTTTCTAAGGTGGTGCGGGAAACACTCCTCTGGCAATTCTGGCCAGGGCCTCCGGGGCCTCTGGAAACCATGGAAACAGCAAACTGACTGTTCGGTGACCATGGTGACTGCTAACAGTGCTTGGAACCTTATCACTGTGTTCGGGGAACCCAGACAGTATGGCATGGTGACTGCTAACACTAAACAACAGTGCTTGGAACCTTATCACTGTGTTCGGCTAACCCAGACAATATGGCATGGTGACTGCTAACAGCTTGGAACCTTATCACTGTGTTCGGCTAACCCAGACAGTATGGCATTGCAACCATGCACTTTGCATTGTGTAGACCAGAACTCCCTGGTGTACCGCCGTACATGCGTCTGTGTGTGTGTGTATGTCTGTGTGTGTGTGTCTGTGTGTGGTGTGTGCGTGAGCGCACTGACAGTCTGTGTGTGTGTGTGTGTGTGTGTGTGTGTGTGTGTGTGTGTGTGTGTGTGTGTGTGCGTGTCTGTGTGCCTGCGTGCATGTTAATGCCTTTGACATGACTGCACTAGCTTCACCAGGTAGCACTAGTAATACTAATAGTATGGAGTGCAGACACTGAAGAAGTGTACACTGTATCGAGTGTATGAACTAAGTCACTGCATGAACTAAGTACAATCATGTAGTAAAGTAAAGTATTAGTTCGCATATCCGCGCCACCACCGGCTTATTCAAGTCCCTGAAGAGTTGAGAAACACAATCAAAAATAAGGGAATCGTATAAATACGACTCCCTGCCAAAAGTGCATGTGCGAATTCGAAGGTCAAACAGTGACCGGATATTCCCTAGGATCCCGTGACCATGGTGACAACTAGTGGAGAAAAACCGGATCGAGTGATCGCCCAGCGAGCTACTGAAGTCACGCTTCACACTCACAGTCAGTGCAGTCGAGTGGTTCCGTGGTCGGTTGAATACTTGAACTACATCTGTAGTGTAGTGGATCTTCATTGTACTTTGCTTCGGTTCTTACAATTTGGGGCGAGGCGGGCTTTGTGAATAAACCCATTCCCAAGTAATGGCTATGTCAGCGATGTCGATGCTGCGTGTATGTTTCAAGTAGCCGTCATGCAGATCTACTGCTGCTGATAGTTGCTCCGTTTTTTCTCAGACTTTCATTTGATGCTGTCAAGAGTGCACAGGCAGTGTTGTACGGGTCTTCAATCAGAGGTAAGTTAGTTAGTTCTGGTGTTCATTTGACTGTCTAGACAATACTAACAAGTAGCTGAGAAGCCTTTAAAACCCGTGGAGCTCTGTAGAGAGGTATCCTACCGTGACTTCTTGTGACTATCTTCAGTGGTTGTCACCATTCGAGAGATTGAACAAAAACTGAAAAAGCGAAGAGCAGTGCATAGGTGTAGATCTACAGTGTATCCACTCTCAGTGCCTATGAATAGCAAGGATACACAATGTAGCCGGAAATAGGACAACATCGTGGAGCTGAGAAGACCCCGTAACGGTTTGGCTCTTTTTGGAACCATGCGCCTTTGCCATCAACCTGTTGCTGGATACTGGATACTGCGCTGACGCCCCTCCCTCAGTACCAGGGTCTATTAAAGTCAATTCCCTGTTGTGGGCCTCAGGCAGGTTCTGGACTCATGACAACCTCCTCTAATTACGTTTTACAGTCTTACCAGTCACCACTCTTGACAACTTCTCTTGAACTGCTCTGGCTCACTACACTTCCACCCTAAGCCTTATTTTCTTCATCAATCTCACGTCTTTTGCACAGACTGCACCTTTCTTCTTCTCTTTTTTTTGTTCCCTCTGACCTGACAGACCTGCATTGTTGGGTTCCCGAACTTCCCGTACATCCAACCCCTCTCTCGTTTTCGTATCGTAATCATTTCCTGTGGAAATTTCTTCTCTTTCCCGAATGCCACTCCTGGATGTGTTGGTCTATTGATGAGGTCAAGTCAGAGTGTCCAGTTGTGGGCTGAAGCACCCCACGGTCAACGGCCCACGAGGCAGCACAGCTACTTTGCAGTCCCTACCTGCAATTACCAATTACCTTCTCCTGGCTACCCTTGGGGTGGAGGTGTGTGTGTGCGCGCGCCCGCCTGTGTGTGTCGATTCACCATCCCTATGCGAACACAAGTGCACACTGGCATGGCTTGTGTGTACGTGCCAAGTACACACACACACACACGTACACACACACGCACACACATATCTTGACCTCTTGCTGCGGACGCCCATCGCCGGAGGCCATGATAGCCAAGCTACAGCAGAAGCCATAGCAACTTAACTTGTGCTGGGATTGCACCATTCAACAGCTTGCAAGGCTGATGAGCTGACCGCCACTATTCAACCTGGTCTACTAGTACGTGTAGTAGAACACCGCACAGCTATTTGAATTGTTTTTTTTCTGGCCAGAGAAACCCTACTTTTTGGTCTTTTTCTTCCTTTTCCTGCACATACGCACATCACTCCGCATACTCCGGCATGCACTGACACCACAAACACACACACACACACACATGCACACACACACACACACACACACACACACACACACACCACACACACACACACACACACACACACACACACACACACACACACACACACACACACACACACACACACACACACACACATGATTACCTGATCACACAATCAATCATCACACAATCTGCCCTAGGTTGGCACTTACCATCAATTGCTCATTGCTCCATCTCGTCACGTCCCCACGGCTGAAAACCTCTTCTTGTCTCTTTCATCAGAAATAGTTCAGGCGCATGCCAAGTGGCTGCCTGACATTTAGAAGCCCTCATGAGCGCAGTGATTCGGTCACCAAGAGTAATTGTTTACAGGCCTTTGGGTTTCTGGCTCTTCAGGGGATTAACCTTGCAGGGTTCGTGTGTACGTTGACGTTGGAGTTGGAGTCGGAGTTCGGATGGTGAGTTATGCATTCTCTGCTGGACCAGGAGTACCGAGTAGTCCTAACACTGTCCGCATACATAATACAGCACAGTGCTGGTGTTACGACTAAACTGCTCATCACCGACCATACCTTGATCACTTACATGCCACAGAGTGGAATATAGACCAAGTGCAACCTGAAGTAAAAGCTGAGGAAGGCATTGGTCTATTCTAGGCGCTGTACAATGCCGCAAAATGGGCGTGTGTCGCGTATCACCATGTGCATGACGTGTGCATCTTTTTCGCGCATGGATCGCTAAGCTGTGGGCAGTTACTTGTTTCCAGTTTGGTGTCCATGGAATAGCTGATTGCTATATCTAGAGCTCTTTGTCGGAGTAGAGATTACTGCGTGTGACCTGTTTGTCAGGCTGATGTAACACTTCTGTGTTGCTTATAAGCTTAGCCATTGTTCGCATGCCAGGATGGCTGTCCTTCGCAGGACAAGGAGAACAAGTTTCTTCCTGACCTACACCATGTCTTCGAGAGGTATAAGCAATTATGTTCCCTTGCCAAGTCGTTATCTATCTATACTGTGTGTGCTGGCGACTGTCATATACACAACCGCAAGTCCTACCTTATACGGAGGTAACACAGGGAAAGAAGGTCCGTCAACTTCAAGAAAAGGCACTGGAGATACTATTGCAAATAGCCCTGTGTCTGTGATGGAAGGCAGTGTCCTTAGCGCTGAAGCAATTCTGAACCAAGTCAACAATGCAATGCTCGCGGAAGAAGCGACTGCGAAAGGGTATTTGCATCATCGCTCGAGTCGGCAAGCTTCCAGGGAGACTAGTCAAACCCATGAGCAAGAAACTCGACATGGATACAAACTGGAGACTTTTCATGACGGTACGTATTCGGCGATAATGGTATCGTTCACCTGCAAGCTGTCACACTTAAATGTGCACTGACTGTTGTATAATAGTAGCAGCTAGGATGTTAGCGATGATTGTGAACAATTATACTTTCTGATGCAATTGAATAAGGGCCTACAGAGTGAGAACCTGTATACAGTTTACTCAACGTTACGTAAGCTGTCTACAGTCGCATCAACGAAAGATATGTTCTGCCTCATGATACAATGTACATGTGTATGTGCACGTGGCCTTGTTCGGGTGATTCAATTCCGAATAACATGACTACATGTGAAGTTTATTGGCAAAGTTGTTGTTCAAGGAGTGATAATAGCATAACCTTTCATAACCTTTCAAGCGAAGAGATGATTATAATAATTATGTAGTCAAGTGGTGCGCTTCACTGTCCGAAGAGTGCTCAATACCCATGTAGGGCAGAGCCTTGTACACAAGCGAGATTGGAAGCTTTGTTACAACTCTGAGTTTCACGGTTGCCTGATGATCGTAGTAATACGTGAAACTCAGAGAGTTGTAACAAAGCTTCCAATCTCTCTCTTGTGTAATTATAATAATTATGAGACTTTGTAAAGATTTGTTCAAGGCCGCGCAACGAGGGCGTCGAAAATGGAAGCCTCAAGGGATTTTCGACAGATGATGGCACGGCTTTGTTTCTAAAATAATATACTACAGCCCTCTGCCAGAAATGCGTTTCATTTTTAACAACGAAAGTATCCACTAAACTGGGGTGTGTGTGTTTGTGTGTGCATGTATATGTGTGTGTGCGTGTGTTGTGTGTGCGTGTGTGTGTATGTGTGTGTATGTGTGTATGTGTGTGTGCGTGTGTGTGTATGTGTGTGTGTGTGTACGTGTGTGTGTGTGTATGTGTGTGTGTGTGTGCGTGTGTGTGTGTGTGCGTGTGTGTGTGCATGCGTGCGTGCGTGCGTGTGTGTGTGTGTGTGTAAAAAATGGGGATTCGCTGGCCAGAAAAAGCCACTTCAATCAGCTGTGTGGTGGATACCAGGCTAAAATTAGTGGCGGTCAATTCATCAGCCTTGCAAGCTGTTGAATCATGATGGTGTAATCCCAGCACTAGTTGCTATGTCCAACATAGCTGTTCGCTATCATTGCTTCCGCGATGGGCAGGTCTGAGGTCTGAGGTCTGAGGTGTGCGGTGTGTGTGTGTGTGTGTGTGTGTGTGTGTGTGTGTGTGTGTGTGTGATTATGGTCACACACGTCTTTCTTCTCTTTCTCAGACTCTTCCTGACTTTTCTTTCATTCTCCTGGGTGGTTACCAACAGCCAGTGCATGCCGGAGTATGTGGTGTGATGTGTGTGCGGGAAAAAAAAGAAGAAAAAAATGAAAAAAAAATGAAAAAAGACCAAAAAAAGGGATTCACTGGCCAGAAAATGTCACTCCAAATAGCTGTATGGTGTAGACCAGGCTGAATAGTGACGGTCAATTCTTCAGCCTTGCAAGCTGTTGAATGGTGTAATCCCAGCACAAGTTGCTATGGCTTCTGCCGTAGCATTGCTATCATCGCCTCCGGCGATGGGCGTCAAAGGTCAGGTCAGGTGTGTGTGTGTGTGTGTATGCGTGTGTGTGTGTATGCGTGCGTATGTGTGTGTGTGTGTATGTGTGTGTGTGTTTTCCTGACTTATGAACTTGAGGCTAGCCCATAATTATGCTTTCCATTATGCCCAAATTATGCTAGTGATTATGCTGGAATTATGCCAATGATGGTGCTATATTGTACTCTTGCACTCTTGTTGCACTTTGCAACGTTACGACAACTCTGGCACCATGACAGCACGGCTTACAAGGGGTAACATTCACCAGGGTACTTCCTGTAACATGCCTAAATATGCCTGGAGCATTAATCTTCAGCCAGCATCGTACAATCGTTACTGCTATAGGCCGGTGGTATGTTTGGTAAGAATTTTTTTTGCGGAGCAAATATATCACAGGGTGTGTGTGCGGGGGGGGGGGGGGGGGATTGTGACGGGCTGCAATTCTATTGCTACAGATACTATTGGGTGAAATAGTAACGGTAGCAATAGAGTGGCTAGCGTGAATATGCAGCACGAACTGATCAACTCACTGAACTGATCAACTCACTGATGTTCTCTTCCTTCATCTCTGTTGTGACAGAACGATTTTATGATGACAGTGGGGCAGAGCTGACGTATGGATTGTATTTCAACGTCACGGGTCGACTACCGAAGCACATCAGAATACACTATGCTGTACTAACACTTCTTGTGCATTGTCGCTCCGGCGAAGAGACCTTCTACGGACGGTCTGAGAATTCGACTGCACCAGCAATTGTTCGCGTACGTCTTCTAAAAGAGCAGAGTGATTCGGTTATTCGAGCTGTGCCACTGCATTGCCCCAGTTCTGAGGCACAGTGGCTACGGTTGGTGGTCACACCTTTCATCGAGCACTGGATGAAAGGCAATACCGAGGAACCGATGTGCATTTCTTCAACGCCACTACTCTGGCCCAGTACCTGTCTATTCCTTAACCATTCGGAACGCAGGGCGGCCACCCTGAGCATAATCTACGAAGTGGCAGAAGTGTCTTCGTGTTCGTACGTCGATCCAATCCTTTCTAGCAACGAGGATGTGAGCGATGCTGCTCGGGAGCAGACGTGTTGTCGTGTGCCGTACTACATAGATTTCAAGGATACAATTCTAGGTGATGATATCGTGTTTCCAGCTGGATATAATGCATATGCATGCCAGGGCTGGTGTCCTAGGAGCGAATTACGTCGTCATCGTCGGAGAAAGAAGTCCATCATCATGCCACAGAGCAACGCAGTGAAAGCGGAGGTAATGAGCTGGATGTCGTCTGTTCATCCGCAGTGCCAGCCGCTGTCCTTCGCGCCAGTGTTTATCATGGTGCGCCACAACCAGCCCTACCCGGAGATCACACATGTGCCAGATTCTATTGTACTCTCGTGTGGATGTAAGTCCGGGTGATACCAACAAGACGGACTACACCACCCTGACTTGTCTCAATTGTTGTTTTGCCTGCTGATGTCAGTATGCATTCCCCACAGGCTACATTCATATTTTTAATTCATACTGCTGCCACTGTGTTCCGTGGAACATTGACCATAAGAAGAATCCTGCTGGATGCCAACTCAAGAGCGCAGCTGAATACATGTACAACTTATGCTTGATTTACATACACTACACACGACCTCATTCACTATTCACGCTGGCGTATTCTACTACAGTACCTTGACCTCATGCATTATGACATCTGTCCTACTTCATTGTCCAATTACTTTCAAGTTTTTCTAAGTTTTACTTCAACTTACTTCAAAAGACAAGTTAGAAAAAGGACAACACTTCAGGTTCAACATTTTGAAAATTTCTAAGTTTTATAGCACTTTCGTGTCCGAGGAAACTGTGTCCGAGGAAACTGTTAGTTGAAGTATTTGGCCTGTACCAAGATAAGTGTGAAAAGTGCATGATCCCGATGTCCTTTCGCCCAGACGCTAGATCTGTTGCAAATCCATCATCAAGCGATTAGTTGGACTCGGGTGGAGAGCCAAGGAATCAGGATTAATTTATAAGAAGACAAGTGGACCAAAGAGCTACAAGTTACGCTATAGACTATAGTATACACTGATACCACCAGTTACTTTACAATCAGCTCATGCGATAACATTGCACGACACTGACCAACGGTACTGACGTTCTACACCTAACTGGCAATCAGCTCTAGCACATCTTGGATGCGCACTCCAACAGCCGTCCAGCTTGAAAGGCTCTAAGTTATAGAAGTAACATACAAAAAGAATAGAATGGGATACGGAGCTTGGGTTGGCTGTGACTCCGAGTTTAACGCCTGTGGCGATCATCAGACAGCAATGATTACAAAAACTCAATGAATGTTCTTGATATAGTGTGGTAAGGTGCTAGTGGAATCAGAGAATTTAAGCACAAATAAGGTCAAGCGGTGATTCTATGCATGTACTTGTAAGATCAGCGCCAGACATCGGGTGTAATCCTGATTTATGTAACTGGAGGTGTGAAGTTAGATAGGTAGAATTCTATTCTACCTATTCTACCTACAAATTCTACCTATCTAACTTCACACCTCCAGTTACATAAACCAGGATTACACCTGATGTCTGGCGCTGATCTTGCAAGTAGATGCATAGAATCACCGCTTGACCTTATTTGCGCTTAAATCCTCTGATTCCACTAGCACCTTACCACACTATATCAAGAACATTCATTGAGTTTTTGTAATCATTGCTGTCTGATGATCGCCACAGGCGTGAAACTCGGAGTCACAGCCAACCCAAGCTCCGTATCCCATTCTATTCTTTTTGTATGAAGCTCTGCACCCCGGTGCATTGAGCACTCTTTCGAGGACCACACCCAACTTTCCGTGTGTAGAAGTAACATAATAAGGGGAAGGTGAGCGCAACCAAGACAAGCACGAGCTGAAAGTGGATGGATGGAAAGATGGATGGTTTGAGGGATGGATGGATGGATGTATGTAACACTAGTGACTCTTAGCTCTGCTGATGGGAATTCAGAAGGGAGTAACAGGTGGCTATCTGGAAATTGGGTACCACGCTCTCCGCCTCAGCTTTGCTGAGCACTTGTTTTGTTTTACGCCAGAGTCACTTGTCTTCGTTCAAGGCTAGCACGCTGTGCGTCTTGTAGTAGGAACACTCTAACTTTGATACTTCGAGCAGACAATGCTTTTAAGGAGAAGACTCGATGGCAACTCTAAAATGCTGGTAATCAGATCTTTTCACCTTGTGCAGTATTCCTCGCTCTGCTGGTGTGTAAAATGTAACAGGACCATTTTTGTCAATTTGTCACTGCTTTTGTCACTGTGGTCGGCCTAGTTCTAAACAGATACCTGTAGATGGATAGATTTAGGAGAAATGGTGAGAGAATGCCCACATTTCCATCTACAGAACGCCGGCGGGTTTGCTGTTGAGTGTCACGTGGTACTAGTATCGGAAGGTTACCGCCATCACTGGTCACGGTGGCTATGTTGTAACGCATTGTATAATTATGTATGTGTAGCTACTTGTGTCACATTGTGTTTATCATCTCGCCGAGTAACAGACTCACCTTTGTCGAAACATGACACCAACCACTGGGAATGTTTGCCCAGGGAAAACAATGCAATACGAGGAAATCTAATTGAAATGAAAGGAAGAAGACGGTCGCCAACGCATGCAACCCCGACCTATGTGGGTGTATAATCATGTGCAGCTTTTTTTCTGAAACAGCGACTGTGATTTGTTTCTCAAGTGCATTCCACATACAGCCATCCCATCTTTATCAATATGATACTAATATCCTGGGCTAGCCTGGAGGCTAGTCACTAATTCGAAGTATTATGATTGAGTGAATTTTGTGTGTGTTTTTATGGTTTGGGGCCAATTCAGTAGGAGTCAGTGTTCATATCATTCTATTCTAGTAATTTCTAGGAAGTCCCACACGAAACGTGCGCTGATGGAATTTTCTCAGTTGATACCTACAATGTTTACATGACGTACGTGTACATGACTGTACATACTATGGTGGAGTTCTCTGTACACTTTCGGAGTTGTGCGCAAGCTTGGTCTTGTACGTTATGTACATGTACATGTCTGTTGTTGCATGTGCTGTGTGTGTGTGTTTGCGCGAGCGGACATGCGTGTATACCTGTGCGCGTGTGTGTATGTGTGTGTATGTGTGTGTGTGTGTGTGTGTGAGCGCGTTCATGTATGGGTATGTTGGGATCCAAATTTCGCCAAACTGAGTTTCTACTATCTGTCTCTCACCAGGAATGGCAGCGAGTTAACCCTTCAGCTTAAGAGGAATGTTCGATATTCCAGTTTTAGCATTGATGACTGGGAAATGGAAGGAATTGTTGTAAATTGGCAATGCTATCATTTTATCATTATCAGATTGCAGCCACGGGCGAAATGCGTCTATACGTTGTGTGTGTAGCCAATCTGCTTCATCCCCAACAGCTGCTCGCTGCAATTACCATTGTTTTCTTTCTCAATTATTGATCATGTGTAGCGTGGCTAGGTATGATGTGATACACTGCACTCTCATCGTCAGCACTGTGGAATTATCTCACTGTTGTGTCACTCGTGGATGTTCGTATTGTAACATTCCAAGCGTTAGAATGTGTGTGATTATGCGCATTCCAAGTGCATGCGCACTGTACATGTTTTATATCAATTTTGTGCAATTACATTACACAATTGTGATGGTGTGATTGGTACATTCCTGCAGCTTGTTTTGGCCAGGCTGCGTGAGGTTTGCGCTCTCTTGGTAAGATGCTAGTGCGAACGTGATGTGCGAACGTGATGTGCCGGTGCTTCAAACTACATGTAAGTGTATCTTAATCCTACGTCTATTACCTGTACCGTATAAGTGTGGCATTATATTAGGCTGCAACCGCACTAATGCTTGCAATCTCATGCACGATAAAGTCATGGCCCGTACTCCCGTGCAGGGCCTAGTTAAAAAAAGTTGGGGAAACATGCGGTCAGAGACTCGACCACAAACACGTGTTCAGTATACTGGGAAATAGAGGCCAGGAGTCGCAGGAGTTTGGAGCTAATTGTGATTCCGCAACTGGTTGTTGTGCCCAAGTTCACATTCCTGCGCAGCGTTATTCCCATGCCTGATGGGTGACATTGTGTGCTTTTATCCTGCGTTTAATGAGCAGTACTGGTGTCTGGTCATGTCCCAGTGGACTCATACCTCACTCATAGTCATAGTCAGTCACAGGCCTTGCGCTAGTCGTAACGCCACGATATGACCACTGTCTGTCTCGTGCCCTTGGGCCTAGGTTAATTAATGGCGGAATCCTACTTTCCGCAGCCAGTGGGTGAGGTTTGGACTTTGAAAGATGACCAGCATGAGAGCGTGGCACTTGTTCTGGACGAGCTGCTCCTGAAGTCCGAGCACTTCAAGTCCAATGTTCGCGCTGTGAGTGAATCTTTTTCCTCGCACGGATCATGGATGTGACCTCCTTGTACATTATATCTTCTTTTGATTGTAGCTTGTTTTCCTGACAGAACAGCAGTGAACAGGACATTTTCGTACATCAGAGGAGAGGGCGAGAGAGGGAGGGAGAGGGAGGGGGGGGGCGGAGAGAGAAGGAGGGAGGGGGGGGACCTGAGATATTTGTACACACGTGCTGGCATAAACAGGATTCTCGGCGCTTGTAGGGGTCCTGGAAGTGCCAAAAGATCAAGATGGGGTAATGAGATCGGTGCCTCGGAACCCATCGAAACTAGGCTAAATCAAGCTATCTAGCAATACACTGATACAGATATCTGTGCCAGCTAGGTCAATTCACACGGGAAAAGGCGTTTCAATATGACATGATGTATGGCCAGACAAGTATTTTTGTCCGCCGCTTCAGAGCAGGACAAACATAAACAAACCCATAATAATGATCTCCACCAAAAGTCGGATTCTCCTTGAGCACACTTAGTAAGCTAGGTAGCAGCTAGCGGGATTGTCTGGCATGTGTGACACGACAGTGATCATGGTTAGATGCCAGTGCAGCGATAACGAAGCCCGATTCTATTGTTCCTGTTCAGTCAATAGTACTTAGCGCATGTAATGCAGTTCGAGTGCAACCGCGACAACTAGTGCATACTGTCTGTAGTGTGGCCTGGTAAGACTGGTTCCCTGGTAGATCAACTACATCAGGGTACATCCATCCATGGCCAGAGCCACACAGGAGGCACGGCTCACCTCAATTGTATGCAAAATCGTGTTTGACATACTAGTACTGCAGGCATTACTATAGTAATTACTAATTACCTCGTTACGCCATAGCTTCTGCCTTTGGCGATGCCCCCTCCCGTCTGGGATGTGTTGCAAGTCAGGCTTTGACCAGGTACAGAGGTTGGACCTAGCTGGGCACGAGTACATTGTTCCAGTATAAAGAAGATCACTTGTGATACAGGGCTTTGGGCCATAAGCTAAGATGGCCTTGTCGCTTCAGTTGCTTTCTCTTCAAAGACCCCGAGTAAGTGTGCTCAGGGCCTCCTCGGGCCTGGAGAGAAAATCACTTGGTGCTCCGATGCAAGAATTGTTCTCGAGCTTCTCGCATTTTTTAGTCTGAGGCACACCACTCAGCAGTGTGTACAGGTAGATCTACTGAGCGAAGCCACTGCATAAGAGACCTACATAGTCATTGAATCCTGACCGCCGCTGGATTCCTCGATCCTGGACCTTGGACCGACCAAGTGTGCCAGGAAGGTGACGGTTTTTACGCCACCGCATTCCCGGTGACCTCGTAGCCATACCGATTACCGTGTACCATTGTGTACCAGCCAAGCACAGCGCCTCGCAGTAGATCTTCGCACTCCAGCATATTTAGGCGCTTGGTACGGAAAGAATAAGAAAGAAGTAGCCTTTACGCCAAGGAGGACAACATCGAGCAATTCTTCTTTTTCTTTTTCGACTGTCCCAGCACATGTACACACGGCCTTGTGTTCGTGCTCGTGGAAACAGATTTTACGAGCGGGACTGGTGAGGGCACCATTGGAACAAACTGGTGCTTACGCGTGTGAAAGACTTGCCGGAGATAGCAAATTTGGTCGGACCTGGAGTGCCGTGCAATGGTCTCGGAAAGCATCGCCCGAGGTCTAGTGCCTCTAGTATTATGTGCTTTGCTTGGCAGTTTCGTCACGGCCAGTGATGGTAGCGACAAGTGGTCACCGCTCCGTTCGTCGGACACTTCTCGACGCATGACGACAAACATCGTGGGAGTACCGAGTGTGGCTCAAATCATGAGCCTCCTGAAGATGTCAGAGACCATGTACGAACCCCACGGAGATACACACCAGCAAAGAAGACGACGACGGAACAATCAACAAGGGGATTTGCCCGGTAGTGATTTGAAACCCAGGACCGGATATCGCGTGGCATCATTCAGCGAATGTAAGTACTCTACACTTTAGACCAATAGTATTTCACATTTACGTGGACAACGGTTGTTCCGGCCATCAACCGCGGATGGGAAGGCTTCAAATGACCACAATGTCTATAATTATGGAAAGTACGGTATCCTGAGAAGACTGGGTACCAGGGTAGAATGTGACAATACAAAATGACACCATGCACCAGTAGTCATGCTAAATTGCCTTTCTCAGGTTCCAACACTAACTGCTTCAGCCTTCAGTCCTCTTGCTGTCGTCACATGATAATGGTATTTGCCTAGGATCAGAAGCATACTGGGGTACAAACTACATGCCTTTTCTTCGACAACATGTCAGAGTCTATACTGGGCGATATGTACTTGTCTGTACGAAAATTACGATTCGGGGTACAAGCCGCGAGGGCAATTTGACCTGATTGCTCTTGTACTAGAGTGGGGCTCTGACCGCTGAAAATACACGTAATGCCTGTATAACTCCATTTCCCTATTCTCTGTCACTGTGCCGTGAGCACAATACGTGCCATGGCTCTACTACAAGGAAAAGCAGCCTTGCACGCACGTTTCAGGAGACATTCCGACTGCAAGGCATGCGAGCGCAGCCACCGTGAGCCTGACTTAGTGCCCAGTAGAGAGGTTCACAGTGTCTCAACCCTGACTTGGATGGGGTGTGTCATTGTCTAGAATATCATGATGTCCTCAGCCCAGGTCACACACTAGTATTTCACCTGATATTGGTTTTGTATTGTCTATGCAGCACTGCCACCTGGATTCGGCGAAGCTTCAAACTCTAGCAACAAGATGGGATGCTACTATTTCAATGTGAGCGCAGGGATACCATCACACGCACGTGTACACTATGCCGTGCTGACGATATTCAGGCGCTGCAAGAGTGGATCATCCACTGCAAGTGGTGTCAATGTGTCGCTTGTACCCGATAGCAATGCATCGCCGGCAAGCCAGTTGCATGACTCGGTCAACATGAACTGCGAGGGACGCAACGGCGGAGACTGGCTTCGCATCATTGTCACTCCGTTTGTCCAACGGTGGCTGATCGATGACGACCATCGTAGCATCTGCTTGCTCTCACCTCAAGCCGAGCGTACTCCGCGTATGGCACTGTTCTCGCTACAGGGCGGTAACTTGAAAGCTGGGAAGAACCGCAACGCTAGTTTGACTGTTATCTATGAGCTTCAGGTCCTTGGAGACCAGCCCACATGCACGCCTGCAACAGAGTATGAGAGCACGTCGAAGGACAATGCCCGTCAAACATGCTGCAGGAAACCGTACTACATTGACTTCAGCACCACTCGCTGGCGGGACAACATCTTATTTCCAAGTGGCTATGATGCATATGCGTGCCATGGCTGGTGTCCCCGGGAGTCACCACCTGCATCCAGTCAGCTGCAGTTTAATGACAGAATGGCAAGATGGTTTGCGTTGGTGCACCGGCAGTGTGAGCCTACACGATTCACATCGGTAATGATGATGATACGGACTGACCAAGACCGCCTGGCACTGGAAACAATACCCAATGCTGTTGTTCTGTCCTGCGGCTGTGCTGCCAAGTACAGATTAGCATCATGACCGCCTCTTCTTCTCTGCTGGCACAGTAAGTGCTTCACACTCTGAGTCTTTCTTTCCATCCACGTGATGCGCTCTTTGCAGCACCTGCCACCTTGCAGCCACAATTTATTGTCAGCTGCTGAAGTGATGGTCTGATGAGGTTGGTGCTATATCTGTACCCATGACATGCAGGGCAGGTGTGCAAGGATTGTTGCAATGTTACAGGGCCTGTGTACATTGAACTTGAGTACAAGTATTCTCCACCACCAAACTGTGTTACTCCCACATCCGGCTCCACCGTGACTGCAGCAAATGTTGCAAATGACCTACCCTCACCACGCAGCCTTCACAGTTGCAGCATTATTACATGGCAAAGACTCAGAAAAGCTGTGATCACCTGTGACTTGAACTTTGTAAATAATTGAAGTGTTGTCATAATGTTGAGATGCACATAACTAAAAAGTATATGCAAAGAGAGACAGACAGACAGAGAGACAGGCACACAGACACGCAAGTTGATGATGATATGCCCCATTACTCCAGCTATGTGCCATGTATGCGTGTTAGCCAAAATGATGCTTTTCAGAAATATCTGTAACTTTTCTTCTTCGATATGTTACTCCTTACATGTCACAGCTGTGCTGTTAGATACTTGAGTATGTGGCAATGTCTACACACGCTCGGTATCCCTGGCGCCGGTGCAGCCACCCTTGTACACACGTGCTGCTTAGTAGCTTATTTTACTTGACCATCTTTATTCTTTATTCTTTATCCTATGCATACTGCAGTAATTCCTTTGCGGATCCAGTACACGCAGCCTGCAGCTGCTGCCGCTGCAGTATCATTGGAATGATCGTGCACTGCCCGTCACAAGATCTGCGTGATGAGCTGTGCCGCTATGCATTGATTGTGATGTTCCAGCAGGTTGCCAGCCATGTGGTGGTTATCCGACCACTTTGATTGCTTGCTTATATATTATGGAAAATGGTCAGACAGAAGACATCTTTTTTTTCAACGGTCACAAAAGCCGGCCCGGCAGCGAGGGCTGTTGAGCTGTAGCTTGAAGCTTCATGCATCTTAGCGATCATCAGACAGCAGCGACAATTACATTCCTTGACCAGCCTAGTTTGTGTGAGTGTGAACAGATTACTATGATGAACAGATGTGACAAGTAGGTCAGGCTGGCGGATAGTAAAGTAAAAAAGTAAACTGTAGTTATCGTGTCCGTTTTCGAAGGGAAGGTGAATATTAGTATTAACGGCATAAAATACCAGTCGAAATAGCAGAATTCCCTACTTTGTCTAGGAAGACTGGAATGGAGAACCAATGATTAATCAAGTTTATCAGAAGAGAAAGATATTTTAGCGTAATGTGTAGCTCTTTGGTACCCTTTTCTTCTCATCCAGGAAGTTTCATACATTTCTAATTCTGGTGTAAAAAAAAAGAGTAAATTATCGTGTCCGTTCCCGACAGGAACTCACGACGGCCGCTAACACCCGGTAAACCCTAGCGGCATTCTGGTGTTTGCCTAACTTGAATGAAGGGCAGCAGATTTCACGGAATTGTCTTCCTTATTCCTCTCTGCATGCTTCTGCTGAGTTTTTTTAGCAGAATAATAGAGCATTTGTATGATTATCCGCCGACACGTGACAGTAAGCAATCTGTTTGATCGATCCTAATACAAACAATTTTTTTGTTTTATGGGTTACAAATTCCATCGTGGAGAAGTGGAATGGCCGAATAGGACAACATGCATGAGTAGTGTGCAAGGAGGCTGGTATGTGGGGCATCCTGTCCTAAACCGGGACCGGAGTACATAGAAGTGTAACCATGGTAACAGCTACCTGTAAAGAAAGTCCGCAGTGGAGGAGTGATATATATGTATGAACCAGACGATTTTTGCCAGAGCAATCATTCAAGGAAAGGGGGAAATTTCACAGTAGAAAAAAGACTACTTTAATACTGCACACTAAGAAATCAAGTATGCGCATAACATCACATTTACCCCTCTAGAGCAAGTGCCAACGTGTCAAGCATCCAGGTGGCATTGTACGGTCACAATGCAGTGGTAACTTTCACTGCATGCTACCAAGTCAGTACTTGGGTTATGTACTCTTGATGCTACCCATGTGCATCCAGGTCTTTTCTCTTTTTCACATCTTCAAATGCACACACACATTGCACAATGAGCACATCACCAAGACCAACCGTACATAAACAAGGGTGTGCAACTCAGCATCTAATTGCTACTAGTATGCTGCAGCATGTACATGGACACACACAGGTTGCATGTACTGTTGCACGTATATACATACACACATGACCCCCCCCCCCCACACACACACATACACACATACACACATGACCCCCCCCCCACACACACACACATACACATACACACATGACCCCCCCCCCCCCCCCCACACACATACACACATGACTCCCCCCCCACACACACACACACATACACACATGACCCCCCCACACACACACATACACACGCTTCTACACCCTCACACACACACATGGACATAATTATTACATGTATGTGTGAATTCGTATTTCACATTAAAAAACAAAACAATAATTATGTGAATACATGTACGTACGACCTAAAATTGGAGCAGAACTAGAGTTCAATACAGTTAGTATGACAGGGAAAATTTGAATTGAAGTCTGCATGTTTGACAAGCGTCTTAAGAAATAGTCAAAACGTGCACACCTGTCCAGGGGTGCGCTGGTTACTTCGGACCAGTAGCTGCTGTTGACAACTGTTCAGCAGCCAGCCAAGACTTGATGATACGTACTTCTAGGTTCCTGGCGTCGACAACGCTTTCCGGGTCGTCCTCATGGTGTCCGCGTAGATCAAGATGATGGGCACCACCCTTGATGAGGATGGGTACAATGCTAGGAGCATGATCGATGTTCTTCAGCACACCACCGGTATGCCATGGGTCAAGGTCACCGTTAGAAAAGATCAAATTGGACGAAGCAGCGATGCTGTCCGACCAGAAATCTATGCTGAAGAAGTCATGTGAGTAAGACAGCGGCCCATACTTCTTAGTGCAGTACGCCTCATAGTCAGATGGCGCCCAGGGAGCAAACGGCGGGAACATATCCGTGACGTTGTTGGTACCGGACGGGAAGCGGACCTGTAAGCACACCTGAATGTCCCACTGCGACATCTTGCCACAACCAGTGGCGTCGGCACACGCCATGAATTCCGTGGCAGGGTTAAAGCACTGTACAGGGCCACTGGTCGAGTTGTAGAACATAGCCACCGCATCTGCTAAGCCATCCAGTGCGTCATCTGCCGCTAGGATCTTGTCGCATGCCCTGTTGACAGGGTATGCGGGTAAGTTGCCCAGGAAACTGGCTGCATACGGGTAGTCCACCATGGCCATGATCGTGAACGAATTACGGATCCAGAGCAGGAAGTGCTGCAGGTTGTCGGCACTTATATTTGAGCAGAGGTGGAATTTTGCCTTCAACTTTTCCAGGCCAGACACAGACTCCGTAAGCTTTAGAATGCCGGTGAAAGCACTACGAACCCTGACTGGGCACAAGCTGTTATAGCGGTGACAGTCATCAGTAACAGCGCGGAAGAAATCGTACTTGCCCATGGGAAAGATCGGAGCACTGGCTGCCAATCCACCGTCCACGATGTTGGGATACTTGAAGCGCATGTATGCTGTCAGCATGCCACCATAGCTGCCACCAAACGCAATCACTTTCCGATTGGGATTTCCCAAGTCTTTTTTCAGCACGGACAGGATCACTGCGTAATCTGCCAGAGCTTGATCAACTGTCAAGAATTGGTAGTTCAAATCTTGTCGCCAATTAGCTCCAAACGGTATTGATTTTCCGTAATAACGATGCTCGATAAATACGATCATGCCACCGACTTCCTTTGCCACTTCCATAACAAATCCAGTGTTGTTCCAGAAGTGTTGTTCCAGAAGTCATCAATGGCTCCTTCATTTCCGGTGTAAACAAGAATTGGGCCATTCTTGGACTCGAAGAACTCCTTGGAAAGAAGAATTCTTTGTTGGAAGGTATCTGGATGGCGGATAAGGGGATTGAAATGGTCAATTTTACTCCGAAAGTACATTTCCTCGTACTTGTACAAGCCTGAAGCAGAGCATCTCAGAAAGAGTGCTACACCCAGTATAAGCAAGCCAATAATGACCTTCATCTTGCTGCGAAAGCTTTCGGCCTCACGCCTAGGTTACAAAATTAGCTGACAGCTACTCCCTCACCCTTTCATCAAGAGTCCATGGGGTTATGGACTCCTGCTTTCATACATCCCAAACCACAGCACAGCATGCACACGGAAGCTGAAACTGCCAAAAAGCAACAAAAAAAACGCACGAGTGCGAATTGATTGATTTGAAGAAAAGGATCGGCAGACGTCATCGATGCATCATCGGACTAGGTGACAATGCAGCGAGAAACACTTGTGCGAACTATCATGATTCGATTTCCGTTACATCATGTATGGTCTACTACTGTATTATGCCAATGCCGATATGCAAAGGTACTCGTACATGTCTGATGTACGACTCGTACACTGTCTGTAGGTGACTGGTCGGTGAGCTGGCGGATAATGTCACCGGGAAAATAATTAAAATTAGCAGAATTTGGTGCTTTTTCTGGTATGTGTCATGCATGGGTAGAATGTGGATAAGAAATTCAAGGAAGTGCCCGCCATAAACAAAGCTTTTAAAAGGTTTGTGTTTAAGATTTTTAAGGCTTGTGTGGTTCTGACCGGAATTTCCCTATTTTAGAGCAGTATCTGCCAATTTTTCAAGAATTATCAGTCAAGGGCTACCACGAGCCAGCATTAATGCATTATTGGACGAGAGGGAAAGGAGCCTCTGCTGATTGTGTTCAGAAATCATGCCTGCGGGACATCGGGGGTACATTTTGTTGTACCCGGTGAGTGTACACTGGCACGCCATAGTATAGAGGGCGGAATAGAAGAGGAAGTGTGGATGACTGTAATTTCAGCAAAACATTACAAACCGTGATTGCAAGCTTTTATTACATGTATAGGGGGACAACAAGTGGTTTCAAAACTGTGATTTTGTTTCGTGCCAGAGAGTCTGAATGCACACTGTTCTTTTTTACTGATAACAATTGATTATTATTTTCTCTCCTTCGCTCTCTCTCTCTCTCTCTCTCTCTCTCTCTCTCTCTCTCTCTCTCTCTCTCTCTCTCTCTCTCTCTCTCTCTCTCTCTCTCTTCTCTCTCTCTCTCTCTCTCTCTCTCTCTCTCTCTCTCTCTCTCTCTCTCTCTCTCTCTCTCTCTCTCTCTCTCTCTCTCTCTCTCTCTCTCTCTCTCTCTCTCTCTCTCTCTCTCTCTCTCTCTCTCTCTCTCTCTCTCTCTCTCTCTCTCTCTCTCTCTCTCTCTCTCTCTCTCTCTCTCTCTCTCTCTCTCTCTCTCTCTCTCTCTCTCTCTCTCTCTCTCTCTTCTCTCTCTCTCTCTCTCTCTCTCTCTCTCTCTCTCTCTCTATCTCTCTCTCTCTCTCTCTCTCTCTCTCTCTCTCTCTCTCTTTCCTTCTTTCTCACTCCCATTTCTCTCTGCCTCCTACTTCCACTCTTTGGGAGACTCGAGAATTGGAGCCGGTTAGTTAAAACTGAATTAGCACAAGTCCGAGTCACAGGTGACAGCGGTGAGTCTGTGTCAGATCTGTGTCAGAGGTATTTTACCTCTACACTGTACTTGTGATGACTTTGTTTACAGTTATATTTTGCGATTCACGTAATATGCACCCATCCCTTTACCATTTGAAAAATGAGTCAACACACGTACACATCTAGTGAAAAAAAAACACAATACTGAGTGAGTCAAAAAGTGCTGATGTTCACGAGATTGGAATGTTGGGGACGGCAAGTCAATGCAGTTTGCGTGACGTTCTGGACGAACGGAGGAAGACCTTCGAAGTAGAAAGATCTCCGATCGAGACACGATTGATACACGTTAGGGAAGGTACATGTAAATGAATGCCAGCGCTGCTAGCTAGGTCATGTCTCTGTTGATTCGAGTGTTGAACGAGTGTGCCGTGGTATACCTGTAGTAGTATAAGGCATTGTGCCTAACTGCCTACCCGGTAGATCACCGTGCACAAGTAGAGTGATTATGTAGTGGCCGGCAAGGTCACCAAAGGGCCGGTCTACACATCAGGGCCTCCGTGTCCAACACATGCATCTCCAGCCACCAGCTCATTGCAGGTCTAAGCACCCTCTCCCCCATTATGCCTGCACTAACATCAAGAAACTGATGATCGCTGGCTATATATTTAGTCCAAAACGAAGGCCATACCAACCGTATGCTACGTTGACGAACGTCGTCGAAATCTTGTTGTGCAACGTTTGACCTTGTGATCCAATCCACCACAATATCTCAGCTGTGCGGTGCATGGTTTTCCCATTCACCGCTGCGTGGTCATGATCAACAACACATTGCTCCCATTACTTAACATTGAACTTCTTCACTGTTGAGGAAGTGGCAACTTTGTAAGTTGTGTCCTATATCTGATAGGAATGGTTACGAGCAATTGCCAGTGGCAATGCATTTCATGTTCAGCTCCATTTCCCCAATGATGGTTGAGATTTGACGTTGATGCCACCCGTGACTCAAATAACTGGTCATCGTCCAGGAGTGTTTGTACAGCGGCCTTGTTGCTGCTATTCTCAGGCAATGGCAGCATCCCCACCAAGTTGCAGGGGCGTTCTGCTACCAAGTCACCGCCATCGCCGCCATCCCCACAACAAAAGAAGGTTACAATGGTCTTCTTCTCAGTTCAGTTCTCCGCTGATCAGAGAATTAAGGAACACAGAATGCCGACAGTTTGCCGACCCACAGTGCATCGTAGATGGCGTCCATCGGCACCCTTTATCCCTCTACTCACGAGGCGAGTGGACACGTACATCGCACCGGTTGAACTTCTGAGAACTGATAAACAAAAATCAACTAGACCAACACGAGCGTGTACATCATGTACATGTAGCCATGTAGGTATAACTTTAATACCGTTACCTTTGTGTACTTTTGGTGCCACGTAAGTCGTAACTTACGTATCTCAGTCCAAGTCGCAATCATGAGTCATGACTGTACGTATCCAACAAGCCAGTACTCGACTCCCTACATACAGGCGCTAGGCCACCGACCTTCTTACGGGAGCCCAACGGGACTCGCTCGAAACATCTTTCCTTTTACATTTTTCTCATGGAAATCAGTGGAGTGGAATACTAGTACATGTCGTGTGGAATCTCGACACCAGTAGGCAGTAGTACTATAGACAGTATACAGTATACTAGTATGGTACTACAAATACGTTCTCTTCAGTATTCGGAAGTTCCCGTATAGCCAATCAATCATCAATGATCTCTTAACCGGCACAATGTTATCACCAATTATTGTTCACCATCACTACGGTATTTGAGGCTGCAATTCTAAAAATTGTATCTCCCCTCTCTGACGAAGCTCCAAGGGCTAAGATAGTCTCCTAATGAGGCCCCATGGCGGGAATTCGAAAATATAAGTTTCGACTTGCAGCGTAAGACCACAGTAGTGGTGACTGGTTCTTCTCAACTGAAGACTGCATCGCATCACGCCATCAGTACGCCATGCCACGCTAGGTTGAAACGCCTAACTACTTGTCATTTCATCGTCACACCATCCACATAAGTCATTTGAACAACGTTTAACTTTCACGCAAACCATTTCAACTTCAATAACGGTGATACGAAGCAAATTCGTTGATTCTTGAAGGCACTGCCTTATATACATGCAGCCTAAAACATAGACAACGGTGACATACATGGATACATCACGGCTTTTCAGTTATCAGAACGAATCAACAAGAACTTTGGAACACAAACTTATCTAAAGTCCTTCACGGATTTACGTGCCACTACAATAAGGCACGCTGCTCACAAGCCCAACACGGGCAGCTTGACCAACAAGCGCACAGGAGTGCTCCAGTGTGCTTCTGCGCACGATGCACAAACCAATCACAGTAAAAGCTTTGTTTCAAATTGGGGGTGGAAGAGAATAATTTACTCGTGATGAAATAGTGGATGGCTTTTCAGATAAAGATCGCACTGTGTTTAGAAAAAAATGTAGGAATAGAATCAATTGCCCGGACGCCGTGTGTGTATGTGTGTGTGCATTGCTGTGATAGTGTTGTTGCAAGGGCAGTGTTCGTGTCAGTTCAAGTTGCGGATCAAGACACACAGTCTCCAGTGGTACATTTACATGGTGTTGATGAGTTCACATAGATTATATCGCCCAGTCCTAAAGGGGCATGTTCAGGAAGCGAGGAGGTGGTCGGGGGGGGGGGTAGAAACGGTCTGCTCCGGAAAGTGAATCTGTCCGAATTCAGTGGTTACGTAGTGGTATCCTGTGTTTGTTCCCAGCCGAATAGATAGGCATCCCACGTCGTAGGCAAGCAGGGTGTTCTCTTTCCAGTGGCAGTGATCATTCAGCCAAGGATATGTTGTACTTTCTTCTTGTTTGGCTACTTCGGTGCTGGTGTGCAAATAGCGGCCCGGTCTGAGGATTGACAAAAAAACGGAAAGCGTGCTTATCGAAATGTCTACTACGAGGATCTCAGAATGGTTGCTTGCGAGGCGAGCGGTAACCTTGAGCGTTCGTGACAGCATAATCTATTGATGCGATTGCAAGACAAAAACTTGGTCCTGACCATGATGGTATAATTATTGATCTCTTTAGTTGTGGTATACTGGACGTGTTGGTCTGTTCGAACATATCGTTTTTGCACATTCACCGTAGTGCCGTTGCTGTAGATACATGTACATCACTCTCTAGTCATCATCAGCAATCTTAGGTTGAGATACCTGCAGGAGGAACACGGCCGTCAGCAGTGACTCCACCCTGCCAGAAATCTCACTCTCACTGCCAAACGTTCACGGTTTGCGGCTGGCTGGGATTGTGCTGTAGCGCATGCACCATGCCGCCTTGAAACTGTGCCTGCGGTACTGCCCACGCTGCCTGCGGTCTACTGGCCTGCGGCTGTAGCGAAGCTTGGGCCGCTGCCATTGGTGCAGTGCCTGCGCGGCTAGACATGGCCATGTTGGACGGGTAGTAGTTGCACGGGCCGGGCGCCGGCGCCGCCGCGGCGTATGCCGTTACAGCTGGTGCTGGCGCGCTGGCTGGGCTATTCCACGCGTTCATCGGATTTGCCGTCATAGAGTGCGGATCGTGAGTGAGCGACGTTGATGGCCTGAAGCTGTTTTGCGCATGGACAGCCGCAGCAGCTGGGTGCATCATCTGCTGGTAAGCTTGTACTTGGTACGCATGGTTGGTATTAGCTAGGCGTTGCTGTCGAATTCTCTGATCCATTTCGTACTCTTCTGCTTGCCGCTTCCACTTCATTCTTCTGTTTTGAAACCAGGTCTTCACCTGCGTGTCCGTCAAACTCAGCTTCTGCGCCATTTGACATCTCTCCGGAGCGGTAAGGTACTTCTTGATGCGAAATTGCATCTCCAGCATTTTGATCTGGTCGCGCGTGAACGCGGTGCGCCCTTTCTTCTGCGACTTGTCCTTGTCCCCGTCTGATGCGGCAGATTGCGATGCAGTGTCGGCTGCAGAGCGAACACAGAAACGGAAGAACAACATCAATTTGCTATACTTGGCTGATGGAGAGGACTATTTTTGCGGCAGTGGAAATGCGCTAAAGGCAAAAACAGCCTGCTAGTATGGAAAGGTGAAACTATGCGGCATTACACCAACGCCAGCAGTGAAATCAAATTTCCTTTCGGCTAGTTCGGCGGCTTTTTCAGATGCAATTATCCTCTCCACACGCAAGCGACAGAATGTGATATACATGACTAGCATTCTGGCTCATAACATAATTGCGACTGAAGTCTCAAAATCAAATCCACCCCACACCGTAGCCGACCCTCGCTTGGAGGTTATGGCGTAGTACAGGTTACAGGAAAACGGCATGACAACCCGGCAACCCTCAGCGAACGAGACCACCGAAACACCAGATCTATCGTCGTAAAGTATCTCTAGCCTAGGCGATAAGCATGGAGTAAATGGCATGCCGAGTGCCTGCCGAGTGCCACACCAGCAGTGCAGGAGTGGTTCCAAATAAGCCGCATTCACACTAGCTAGCGGTCACCACAGACATAGCTCGCGGCAGGAGAAGACGTTTTTCTTATCGCTTTTCAGATCTGAGCCCATCGCGCGCCGAAACTGGAGACAGTGCATTGTTTCAGCCTATCGGTCGTTGTGAATCGCAAGTTTCAGCTTGTCACTAAGAACTCTTCTACCTACATGGCCAGACGCAATGGCTAGTATAGGAGTACAAGAATGCTTCCGCGATTACCTCGTTCTTTCTTTGCCTTCTCCAGGGCAGCAATGGCTGCCTGAACTGCAGGATTCTCTACAGCAGTCGCCTCCATTATCAGATAAAGAAAAAACCGTTACTTGGCTGTAGGAGGAACGGATACTGTGACGGACTGGTTTGGAAAACAGCCGGCTTACTCTTTTCAAATTTCATTGCGACAAAGCCTTGTCGGTCATATTATTGCACTAGCCCTGAGAGGCATGAACTCAAGTACGTCCTACCTACACTACAGTACTAGTACAGAGAGAGAGAGAGAGGGCGTCATGGCCAGCGAGTAAGAGAGAAACACATCATGGCTGGGCTAGTTGCCATCGTCACCGCATTTCCAACGCCGAAAACGAGTCTAGCAATTCTCACGTGCGATGGTCTGCCAAAGTACAATGCACTTGAGCTGAAGTCTCCGCCCCAGCTTTTGTGAATCATAGACATGGCCGACAATCTAGTAAAGCCATGCTACACTAAGCCTACAGAGACCAATGTGTGTGTCTAGTCACCTTGTTGAAGTCCTCGCGCTCCGTCAAGAAAAGGTGCTCAAGTGCGAGTCTAGGATGGTGCCGCGTGAATTATATCAGTCTCTTGTAGGTCAGAATAGAAGAGCGCAAGAGGCCAACTAATACTTTCATTGCATGATTTTCAAGTTTGGAGCAGCGGTTGGGTGCTGGAAGTATTCGTATATTAGGATGTACAGAAGCTACGAGCATGCAGCAAACACAGATTCACAAGCGCAGCTCAAAACGCGGAGACTTCATGAGCTCTTCGGGCGCTAGAAAGACGTTCATAATCGCGGAATGCTTTCAAAGCGTGAAAACCATTTTTCAGCGCAGGGATTTCCACCATGCATACGGTTCCACAGTGAAAACTCTCAAAGATATCTCTTGACATAGTGTTTCGGTAAGATAACAATTATTTCACCAAAGCATTCGGACACGTACCGTGGCTTCCCTCGTCATGTTCCTTGCCAGGTGTGGCTAGATCTGACGACGGGGAAGGTGTGACGCCTTGAAACGCTGACGGTCCCGCGGTATGGTTCACCAGTTGGTGTGGTGTAGAACACAGCGGGGAGGTTGCTGGTCCACTCACGCCGTGTACCAGCGTTACAGGGTCTTTTCCAATTATGTTGCTGATGAGAAACGACGACGAAGAACTGCCACTGGTGCTATCCGACGGCGATATTCTCGTTGTCGATGTGGGACTGAGATGGAAAGAAAAGGCGTCAATCTCCATCATAGCCACCTGGGGTGTGTGCTTGGCTATGGATTAGACAGTGGTCCACGACGAATCAAGAAGAATGGTTTGACGGTTAACAAACAGCTCACCGTTCCAGCTACGCAGAAAGCTAATTCTAATTCATCTGACCCTATCTGAGTGATAATCGGTACTGATCTTGGAAGTTGACAGATACTTGCTTTAAATCTCCCATCATCCTACGTGAGATCAAGGCGTAGAATGCGCTCCGGGCGTACGCCACAGTGGGGAAGTTCGTCCAGCAAAGTAGGATGGGTCGTTAGCATGCTATGATCGGTGCTGAGTTGGCGTCTGTTACGTGATCAGTATGTGTACTTGCCACTGCCATGCTCCCGTGGACACAACTCTGCGCACACATACTACACACAGCAATACTCAGTCCTTGCTGTAGCCTCGATGGGTAGCACATCCATAATAGAAGCACGACTGTTCGCGATGATTGCTGGTGAGACCGGCGGTGGTTTGGCCGGCACCAGCCGCCACATCATTTAGCCAGGGTAGCTCGGCACTTCACCAGCCAGCCAGCACAGCCAGCAGCTATCTCTCTACACAGTCATACATGTAGGTACAGCAGCAGCAGCACCACGAAGCATGCTTTCCCAGCCACTACACAGCATCAGTTGGCGAGTCATGTTCAAACCGAAAGTGAAAGGCACCCGCCAACCACACAGCAGTAAGTGTATTTGGCGGGAGTAGCCTGTCCATTGCGATCGCTCCGGCCGGTGCCTAACATGAAGGCGCTCCTCGCTCACCACTCTAGTCAGCCCCCTTGCCCACGTTTTGTGCCACGCTGCCAACTACTAACACTTACTCCACATCAGCACAGTAAAAATACCAGTCGGCAATACTGGCAATATTACATGTACATGTAGCCAGCCTTCTTTTACTAGGCAATAGCAAAAGACTCTAATGTAGATTACCTTCCCTGTTCAGAATAGACTAATGTGCCGTGTTTCCACATCTCCCACTGACCAATGTGGGGTATGATTCCCACGCCCTATTGTTATGCACGCATTACTGGTGTTATTCTGCATGAGCATTCACGTACAGATATGTTGTGGCTGCTCTGTGCCATTACTTTCAGTATTATCACTTGTTAGTTCTTGTAATGTATGCATTCGGCAGCGTCTCGCTGTCTCCATAGTTTCCTCAACCGGGGAAAGAAAAAGTCGACGCTCTAGCCAAGACTGCACTGCACTGGCAGTGGTTGCATGTGACGTCACACTTATGCGGCGGCCACCAGTGCGAGTAACAAGCCATGGACATGGTCAAGGACGTGCAGTACTAGTAGTCGCTTCACGCGGGTGTGCCTCTTTTTTGCGCGACCTGTGTCGCATGTTTCTGCACGGTTCTCCATCTCGTATTGCGCCTTGTTGGATTCAAGCAACTGCTTGTGCCATGCGTCTCGCCTCACCGTCCGACAACAGCGCAATTGTGTAGAACACAGTCTTGTTCAAGTAGTCCTCTCCGACAGAACCCGCCAAACTGGTATACACGTGTGCCGTTATTGCCAGTCAGACGTGCAGCGCGGGGGGAGGGATTTTTGTCGTCGCTTCTCGTCTGGCGCATAGGACAGTGAAACACAATGGTTATGCGTAGAGTACAGGTAATCCGTCATGGATAAGCGCGGGGATAATAGCTTCGTGCAAATTCTTTCAGTCGAACAGCCAGTCCCGTTTGTACGCAAATACGAGCTACTTGCATGCAGCTATCGTTCTCGGATAGAGAGAGAGCACGACGCCCGTTCGCAACGCGATGGTCAGTCTCGATAATTATTGCATCGTGTTAATGCATGCCGCTACGCAGGCGTCATGCGCATAATATACATTGTCTCCGGGGTATGACTAGCAGAAGGCATCTCACTCTTGAGAGGGAATGTTTGTGGTCACTGGTCAGGAATTCACTTCCTTGAGCTGCGATGAACGACCACAGGGCAAAGCCGTGCGAGTCGAGTGTAAGACTAAGAGCGTCTGGCTGCACTAACATAGGCCTCTGCTGCTCAAGCTACGAGCATAGCCTGGCGTACAAGGAAACCTGGCACAAGCCCCGACCACCTAGCAACCCATCCCTGTTTCAGTATTCTGTGCGGTGAAATCGCATTGGCAATTTCCATTGGCAATTCCTTGATAAATTCGGTCGGGCCTTTCTTTTCCAGGCGCACCGCACGCACATTCTTTGTCGCCTTTCTACTACAATCTGCACCCGAAATAGAGAGATGTAATTCGTATGCTATCCGGAACTTACACTGAACTGAGGAGTAGCGGTTCTTGAGCGGTCGCTCGAAACTGAAACTGCTAATTGCAACCGGTGGCTTCTGACCGAGATGAGACCATGAGACAATGAGCAGCAGTACAATGTACGGCGTACATGTACTGCAGGCTGCACATGTCCTAATAAGCTGAGTCGCGTGCCTCCTGCACCAGCGCCTGGCTGGCTGGCACTACGTCATACAATGATGATTGTGTAGTAATATGCAGGCATGCATGCATGCCGTTAGCATTCAACTACACAAGAACTGTGGCCAGTGTTGGTTGGCTGAAGAGAAAGTGGATACCGCAGTGTACGTGTGCGGTGTGAAGCTTGCACCAGTGCATGCTGACTAGATGCGGACGTGATACAAGTAAAGTTCATATCGTGCCGTCATGCATGTATCTATGTCACGTGATTCGGATATTGCACATAATTGTGCAGCACATTTACAGTAGATCCAATCACTCTGTACCATACTCCATAGAAAGAAGAGAGAGAGAGAGAGAGAGAGAGAGAGAGAGAGAGAGAGAGAGAGAGAGAGAGAGAGAGAGAGAGAGAGGGAGAGAGAGACTTAGAGACAAATGGAGGGGGGGGGGAGAGATATACATAGAGAGAGGGGGGAGAGGGAGAGACTGACTGACTGAGAGAGTGCCTGGATGGCGTTGAGCCAGGCTGCTGATCCTATTGGCAAAGTTGCAGTGTTTTCTGTTGGCGTTCCTGACCCCCTTTCCTCTTCACATACCTGTGTCCCAGCAGCGGATGCTCTAACGTGGCGTGACGTATGACATACCGGTCATAAGCGGTAGAGCACAGGACAATACGATCAAGTCGACGTTTAGCGACACTAGCAAAATGACCGGCAGCGCGTTAGGCAACGGCCGGCCAGGGATGATCTCCTGGTTAAGATGCTCATGTCACTACATCAGTCAAGAGTCAGTCTTGGGCCTAGGCAGTGTTAAGTTGAGGTCGTGTTGTCGGAAGGAGGGAGTTGTCGCATTTGATGGCCTGTACGAACGGGCCGCACAAGACCGTCAAGAGGGAAGGATGATCATCCGCTTCCGACCCATTAGGCCCCGTGACATTTCGTTCAGACGTTGGGAGACGTCCAGCATAAATCCATGATCTCGTTGTCATGTTCTAGTGCCCGTAATGTTATCTTACCACGGTTAGAGAGTACTGTCGAGGCGACCGTATCTTGACCACAAAGATCATCGTTCCAATCCAAACAAACCGAAGTATGCCTAAGGATGCTAAGCGAGTCGCTTTGCCTCAACCATGTTCCCATCATGGCCACGTTACGACATACACACGAGATCGAATGACCATCACAGACCTCATCCATTGTGACCTCACACAGCCTGGTCTTGACTCGGTCCCTGGGTGACACGTTGAGGCGGTCGGACCACTCAGCGTCCTCATCCAAATATGTTACAAATCATTGGGAAACGATCACTGAGCTGTCTACCTGCCCAAACGGGCCTTGATTGAGGGTAGGATTGCCATGACTGTACTTGAGACGAACATCAGCAAGCATGCATGCCCCCCCCCCCCCCTACCCTCCACTCTCTCTATTTCTCTTGCTTTGACTGACTTCGCCATGGACTGGCAACTGTAGTGGAGTGCTACATACGATGTGTATGCGATGTCTGTCCGTTATATGCTTTAGTATAGATGTAGATGAGAGAGGTTATGTATCCGTGTACAGCTGTATGTCTGAGTTGATGCCAGACCAGGCGAAACTGACAATTGCCCTCTTGTCTGCACTGCTGATACAGGCAGACAGACACGCGTACATGTACAACAGTACGTGCCATGCACACTGTGTAGGAGTTCTCGCTAATAAAGTGCCTATTGTGATGTACTGTGGTGTACGGATCATGCATGGCTGAAGGAACATGCTTCCCAACGGCACGAGTCTCCCTTCTTCAGTCTTCCATCACACATACATGTACAAGTCCATGCATGTACACGCGGGCCTATACTATAGGTTCCACATTGATTAACTTGAAGAGAGTTCATGCGACACTAAGCAATCCGCGTTCCCCTGTCGTTGCCCGTTCCACAACCGTGATATGTCTTCCTCTCCAGTGGTGCGAGAATTTCCAGTTTGTTCTGTGCTCAGCATGCACGAGCGGTTCTGACACTTCCAACAAAGCAGATGCATGTGTACAGTGTCGTCATACGGGTACGGGGCAGTTGAGATCAGCGTACAATGCTAGTCCCACCATGTCACACCATGTCTATTCCTCTTCTAGTTCTAGTTCTCCTCTAATTGTTTCGAAAAGGAAAGGGTCCAAGAGACATTGATGGGCCGATACGCAGTCTCTTGGTTCCTCAGTCACACACAATTGCAGATGTCGCCTGTCCATATGGATATACGTGTACCTAACATGTTTGGAGAAGCTTCAAAGATGATGATGAAGACAGTACAAGGAGTGGTTTCAGGACACATTCGAACACACTCCCCGTCTGCTTTCTCGAAACTGTCTTTCGCGGTGTGGGGCACTGTGTCATTGCTAAGCCAAATGGATTGGATATCCAATATATATCCCAGCGAAACCGAACGGTATAGCGCCTATGCACTAGTAACCCATACCGATACAAAATATGCTAGCACGATAGTGGACCATGTTCACCATGAGTGTATGATTCGCCAGTACAAAATTAAGGTAAATGGCTGAGAGATTTTCCCTGTGGATGGTTTTTGACCATCCGCATGTCTAAAGCACCAGATGGCTCCAGACTCCCCCTTCCATGTTTCGCCTCCCTCATTCTACCAAATGAGCCCAAATAGAGTCCCACTGCACTCCACAGCTGATCGCCAAAACAGGTATTTCGTATCAGATTACCTGCCGGAGATGGAAAGCAGCATATTACCGCCTTGTTTGTGGGTATCCAGTTTCGCAGGAATGTTGTCAGCTTAGCCCTCGGAACATGCGAATT